TGGGTTGCGTGTGGGTCACATGCAAGCCGCACCTAGGTTCCTGGTGCATTTCCAACAATTTTATATTGCTGTTTCCATGGCCTAGCTCTTTGGAGGCGAATAACAAATACTCGATGTCGTATTCCCCTGGTTTAAACTTTGTTGAGAGGGCAAGGAATCGCTGTAAGCTCGGTGGAGATTGGAAGTGAATACTATGGCGGTCTCTCGTATCACTGATAAAAACTCTTGTCATGGTCTGACAGTATTACTGAGTTTGCAGTACCGTATGACGGGCTCGCCGTACTATACCACGGATAAGTGGCGGTAAATAACTTCAATTGTTAATTTAGTGGCCGTGGTAGTCCTAGGGGTTATAATTCCCCCTCACTACCAAAGAGCCCGAAGATGTATCCTTCGGGGGTATGTGCAAGAAATTGCAAGACGGAAAACTCACCAAAATGGTACAATTAGTTCCAGAGGAGAAATTGAACTCTTTATCCATCATGAATTAACCTTCTATGGAGGATACTGTGTGCGAGACTATCGCTAAGAATCCTTCAGATCGTTCCTTTTGTTCATTACAGAAATATCCAGACGCGTAGGTGTGAAAGTAGCCAACGCGTTACCTCCGGATAGGGGGAGGGATGTACCAAAGGATTGACTTAGTTCCTGTAAACAAAATTTTGCGTCATATGGAAATGTTCCTTACAAAGGGAACAGTGAGATGTCATTAATATTCATTCCATACAAAGTACTTAACAAAATGGTGAAAAAAATAAATCTTTAAACTATACACCGACATTCTGTGTCAGAAAGTCTTACGCCAGTGTTGAATTGTGTACGCTTAGAATAAGTATTTTACCGCTACGATCCCGACGCAAACGGCAATTTCTGATAAAGATGTGCGACAGAACAGCATGGTCGGCTGTACTTTAATTGGTGTCACCAACCTAAATATCATCGATTGCTCATATGAGACAGCAGTATCTTTCTCACTGCGCTAATCACTTGGAAAGAGATGGTCACGGATTGGCTGATTATGCCGCTAAGACTGTCTTCACTACGAACGATGTTTGGATGTCTAGTAATTCGGCTGTACAGACCTATTATTTCGACGATATATTCATCTTTCTTCGTGCAGATCATAGGAAGTTGGGATATGTAAAACCACATTTAGCATTTGCGAGCGGTACTTGAGTGGATGTGATTAAATATACTTTCATGAAGAAGACAAGGGTGCGCTTGGCATCGATAGAAATCCTTTTTAGATTGCTTCATTGAGAAGTAGAGCCTGCGGACAGATTCCAAGAAAACAAAGACCTTTGTAGGTTGGCCAGTGTCTCTGCCCAAAAGGACTTGAGGAAGTGGCTTGGTCTGACCATTTACTTGCACTAGTAAAGTACAAACCATACCGACATGACACGACCCCTCGTCAAACATATTTTAAGCAGAATGTTTAATAAAGTTGATCCGCGTTGAAAGAGGCATCCTTAGAAAGTACTGATACAGACTTTTCAGGATCCAGATCTTCCATTCCACGTCGTCAGTGACACTCAGCAAATGCAATAAGCACTTTTTGCATCTAGCAGTTTCTAGTGCACATGAAAGCGTGGTGGTTTTTGAGTCATATTCTGCTCACAATTGCAGCAGAGAAGCTACCCTTCATGACAAGGAGGGACTTGCAATAGAGTAAGCCCCTTATATGTTTGGAGTGCACTTGCTTAGCCATATACCGTCCGAAATCTATGCAGATCATGCATCATGGCGCATAGCGACGTCGTCACCACACTTTTCACCGAGAATAGCAAGATATATATCTTTCTTTATCGGGTGTACTTTCGATGTATGGTATTAGCGAATGTGCTTTCCTGCTACTCCGGCTATAAATTCACATATCACAATAATGACGTCGCCAATTGGTGAGGCGATCCATACAACTCACGATTCAGACGCAGAATGAGTTTTGTTGCTGAACCCTTGGGGGCAAGGAACTAAAATGCTAGATTCAACTCTAATAAAGTACGCGGTTGGATGCCTGTAACGCTATGCCTTATCCTAAGGTATGCTGTATTTCAGCACTGACCTAAATGTCACACAACATGTAGTGGTGCATCATGACAAATACTTCAAAGACAGAATACTTTTCGAGGCAATGATACCTCTTTTAGCTTACGGATTGAAAAAGATACTGCTCGCCGAGCACAATGTATTGGTGTGCCAATATGATTAATTATATATAGTCATAAGTGCACATGTGCGAAACAACCAGTGTATTAAACCCTCACCGCATGCTGCGACACCTTTGGCCAGATGCATTTGGACATCGTTTCGGTCTGACCTAAGCGTACACATCCAATAATGGTAGTATTGTGATATCTGTAGAACGTCTGTGTAAAACGGCTCATTTTGCTGCTGTCAGTGATTGTGTCGCCGGTGAAGATATAGCCAAGCTGTTCTTTGCAAAATATTTCGCCAATATTGCTTGCAGGTAGTCATCATACTCGATAGAGATAGATACTGCGGCAAACTTTTATCAAGCTTGCCACCTTGTGGCAGCCATCCACAAGCAGATGGTCAGATGGAACGTGTGAATTACAAATTTCTCTAGGAACGCTGTGCGTAGAAACCACAATGCTAGATCATGTTGCACTCACCCATCTAGCTTGCGCTGGATGTTGCAAAGCATATCTTTACAAAAATTCGAACCAATTTACATAATTGGTTTGGGGAATATCCATGTATCTTTATCATAGCCACAAAGTGGCTAGAGCCTTGGTGGAGGAGAGGTTGCTTGGTAATACCAACCAGGCTACTCGACGTTGCAAATTTAGTGCTTATATTTTGATGAGATTGTGCGTAATGCGCGTGATACATGACGCTGTGGCATTCAACTTAAACAAAAAAATCATGCGAATGCGAGAGACAGGCAAAAACAGATGAATACGATCTTGGATAGAACTTGATTGAATGTAACTTACCTTCCCACACAGAGTCGATAAACACAAGGTGAGCCGCATGTCATCGGACCGTTTACGGTCGCAGCAATTTGGTAATCGGGTAATTTTCCGAAACCCCCCACGCAGATGCAAACACTCATCGTGTTTGTGTCGGCTTACTTAAATCATACTAAGATCTCGCGCCGACACATACCAGCCGTACGTGAAGAGCTTTGTTGTAGACAAAGCACTGCCTCTATTACTACCTGTAGCGAAGCCACCCTTGGCTCCGAAACAGCGACGAAAAAGCGAATTCAGGATCTGACTCACCTTAGCCCCGGACGCCTTTGACTCTATGAGAAAGCCGGCGTGCCTCCAGCCAAAATAGCCCGCGAGAGGCAGCCACAGATGGATGACTTCCGCCGATATTAAGAATTAGGTCACTTACTCTCACGTGAAGCGTTTAGTAGGCTCATCATAACTGCCAGCAGTATTTAGTAAATAGAAGAGGTAAGTAAACCCGCGGAAGTTTGAAGTTCTGCTTCAACACCCTAGCTTGCAGCGCGTGTCTAATATGTAATATTCAATAATGACTTCGGGTTCTCAATTCTTTTATGTAGAATACAGCCCAGACAAAGGGCCACCGGGTAAAAACTCTTCTTTTGGACCACTAATGTTCAATGTGTCGCGAGAAAATCCCTTTGTCTCACTTGTCACTTGCCTCGTGCAATGGTGAGCCATTTTTGTAAGCCGCAATTAATCAGATTTGATCACCCCCACGAGATGATCACAGTATTACACAAGCAACGGACCAGAATCTCTACCCGTAATTCGCTTTAGGAGAAGTCATCTTAGATGGGTGACTCTCTGAGTCTTGCGACGAACTTTTACGACTTATGCCATCTACTAGCCCTGCAACCGCTTCCTCAATCTCGACACCAAATGTTGAGTTTCTTTACGTAGAGCTTCGATTATGTCATGGACCTATTTGTGATAGATGCATATGACATGGTCAATCTCCAACTTTGTCTCCGACCGTTCATGCGTCAATGGACTTCCACGTCGATCATACAATCGAATCGATCAATCAAACAGCAAATTTCGAATCACTGCTGGCCCATCATAAGTCTTCGGCTCTGCAAGGCCTTCATGGTGAAAATAACACGGTGCAAATGCAGCAGCGGAAAATTGGCCAATACCATTCAGGTTGTCTAACGTGATCGACTCAACGTATAAAGAATCCAGATGATCATAATGCTGGCGCAGTGGTAGCGCGTCCGCTTTGCAAGCTGAAGGCCCCGGGCTTAATCCCCGGTGTGTCCATATATGTGCTCGACAGCATCCAGAGCTGTCACTCGGTCCAGAAACCACGAGTGAGCCAATGTGAGGTCATCTTGGACATTACTTCCCAATTGCAAATCAAGGTCTCTTGGTTGTGTAAGCTGCTTGCAATTCTGTTAGCAATGCAGATAAAAAATATGCAACATTAATTCAACATGCACTTTTTCCTACGAATGAGAAACGGAAGATCAGGTTTCAGCATTGTCTTTACCCTTCCGATCTTTCCGGTTTATAACGTCTGCTCTATAAGATGCAATTTCGAGTCCCTACATCGTCCAAATTGGTCACTAAATGTTGATAACCTTTACAGTGAGACCATTAAAGATCTGTGTGACTATCGAACATTAGTACTGCTGCAAAATGAATATTTTGTCGACAACTCTTTATGATAAAAGCGAATCCGTCTCCTCACATATGAAATGCCAGGATGCGCCGAAGAAACAATGGCAATGGTATCCACAAATGATTCACGGGACTCCAGGATTTTGCTACGAATCATAAAGCTTATGGCAACCAAGATTCGTGCAAAATTTGAAACTTGAGCGTCCGAAATACATTCAATTTTGCCAACCTTTAACAACAACTTCGAAGATCTATTACCTTGTGGAAGTAAGAAGTGTGCAGCGACAAGGCGGAAGTGGATCAGGTGCTAAATTTGGGTTGCGTACTGCTGAACAACGCCCCCCGGCCGGAAACATGATTGCACTCGTCGTTGTGATACAGAGCCGTAGACTTCTCGCCTTAAAATATATCACCTATAAGCACTTTAATAACGCCGCTTTAAGCAGCAAACATCAAACACTGTTCACTGGAGCCAGAACTAGAATGTAATGTGTGAGCGTATAGTTAAACATTATCAAAAACAGATTCATGGCGTCTCGATCGATAACTGGATTGGCAGCCCACTGACTAGCATGCTGCTTCTGGAGAAGAATATGGTATGTTCCGGACGGAACGACTCTCAGGTCTCAATCTCATCAGTTTACTGCTAATGGTCTCCCCGTCAACTTCTTTTCCATAATATACGCGAAAGTGGCAACGAAATGAAACGATTCGCGTCTTGGCTGGATCAATATGCATGATTTGAAACCATATTACAGTCTGAAAAAGAATTCAGCTTTGAGCGATTGTATGAGTGCGAAACCGTGATACTTTAACAAATGCAGGTAGACAGAGAGAGACCAGAGTATCTTTGTGGCCAAACTTTTCGTAAATTTCAGCTTTTTCATTTTGGTAAATTTTCAATTTGTTCTTAAATTTCGGTAACTTTTTAATTGATTATCAAAATCAAGGATATTGTAAAAATAAATTGGAGTTATCCTGATTGATGCGGTACAAATTCGGCCCATGACGGACACGCCAGTACGCTCCAAGCAGATGGAGCTGTTTGGCAAGCTGCATATGAGTATGGACCATGTGCTGGCAAAGCTACTGTTAGAGGCACCGCCGCTTCCAGATGCATTGAAACTGCAGACCGAGAAACAGTCGTTTGCCACTACGTGGGTGCAAGTGTCTGAGGCATTTGAGAAACGTAAGACAATGCTGCAGCGTCGGAAAGAAAAGTCTAAGATCAAGAAAAAACGACGATTGGAAGATACAACCGCCCAAGACAAGGAGAAAGGTAAAGAAAACGAGAAGGATATGACCACAAGACAAGCGAACAATGAAAGTCGTAACTCCGATGTTTCCCCGCCGAATTTGAAGAGTATTCGTGGCCTCAAAGCGATAAAAAAGGCATCAAAGAAGAATTCTAGTAGTCCGAAAATAAATTTCGACACGGCTGAACCAAGTGCGTCCGAGCAAAACGTACTTGAGAAATTACGCGAATTGCCCATGTGTCAGGATTTAAAATTTGGGTCAAATAAGTATAGAGCGATTGTCAAATGGATTGAGATCGATAACGGCAACGACACAGGCTTGTCGACAGACTTGAGAGAGCTACTGAAAAAGTTACAAATTGATGTAGCGCTAAAAAGTGCGCGTACGACATTAAAAGAAAGTCGTAAACGCTCAGTAGAGTCGTTAGATAACACCCCGCATACCGACAAGCGCAGCAAAGTTAAGTCTTTGGAGAGTGAACGAAGGCAGGACAAGAAAGTACGTGATGTGGTAGATGGTGCGGGTAAAAAGGAGAAGCCAAAATCAAAGGGATGGGCACCTGATTCCGATGAAAAGAGAAATTTTCAAGAACAAGAAGAAAAGAAGAAGAAGCGTGAAGAAGAAAAGTCTATTCCGAGGCAAAAGAAAAAAGCTGAGGGAAAGAAGAATGAAAATGCGGTCAAAACTGGCAAAGATACCTCTCAGCCGAACTCAAAAAAACACTCAGCCATAGTTGTGACGAAGGTTAATGCAAATGAAGCGATATATGGAAATGCAGATGCCAACTCCCTTCTCCACAAGAAAAAAACCGTTCAGTCGAACGCTTCCGGGACGTCTACTAACGTGAAACTTGCTGCTTCGGAAAAAATGAAACCCGGTTCTAGTCCAACTTCTGCAATTGTGTTAGATGATAGCGAAGAGGAAAGCGAAGCAGAAACTAAGGAACAAGACTCGTCAACTGACGATGACCAGGATCTTTTTGATCTTAACGAGGAGGACGTATATGTCGTCGAGGCGATTTTATGTGTTAAGGAAGGACGCTCCCTTATGTCGGCTGGACGTCGTCAGAAAGAAGCCGATTTGTATTTAGTTAAGTGGGATGGCTACAATGAACTAACGTGGGAGCCTGACGAGAACATTCCGCGACGATTAATTGAGATCTTTCGGGAGCGTGAACGTGCCAAGCGAGCGTGTCAGTTCCAGGTTAAGAAAGCGCACGAACGCAGGGAGGTCTTAAATGTGACAACGCAACAGCCCGATGTGATTTACATGATTCAGTGGATCAACCAAGAACTTCCAGTATGGGAGTCACGCACGACTCTTCCAATAAAGACGCAAGTATGGCTGGACAGGATTCTTGGTGCTCCGGTATCGAAAAAGCGTCGAGAAACTAAAGTTGTTAAGCAGTAATTCAATATTTGCTGTAGAAAGTAGCTAGTTGTCCCATTGTGAAAAGAATAAATGTACTTGCATATACAACAGGTACAAACAAGTACCAAGCATGCTTATGACTTCTTGTTAACCAAAGATCCTTCGATTTTTTCTCAAATTACTTCCTTTCAAACGATGCGGTCTAGTTCCGTCGCGTATGCCAGCGTCTCGCCCACGAGTCTCAACGATGGAATGTCTGAGGCACCAAGAGACTTTTCAGGCGCTTTAAACCATACACGGTTCTCGCGTACGACCCACTCGGGCTTTTCGTCTTGTATGTACTGACTAAGCTCAGCAGCTGAGTCGAAAATAAGCATCTTTTGCGCATCAACGAGTGAGAGACACTGGTATGCTACCTCGGCACATTCAGCAATGTTCTCGCGTACAGTCTGTAGTAACTGCGAGAGGAAGAAGGGAAAGTAAGGATTGGGAACGTTGGTACGCGCTTCAAGCACCTTGTTATAAGTGCCTTCCATCAAATATTGCTCAAGCTTGACGGCAAAAGCGATGTTCGGGTCCTGACGGCTCTGCTCAGGTAGTAGTTCAAGTTCATTGTGAAACTCGGCCATACGGTTCTCTACAAGCAGCTGCAGCAATCGCGTGCCAAGGATTGGATAGTGCAGCGGAGATGGCTCCAGCCCACTATTATAGTAGACCTTAAGCTGAAGCATATTGCGCTCAAATGCTGTCATATCCTCGCGGAGGATGCTCAGTAATGTAGCGCTTTCCAGTACGTGACCTAGAATGTAAGTAGACGTGAGAAGGCACTCATCCAAAATTACTTTTATATATGCGGCGTACGTGCAAGTAGAAGCTCCTGTTTTGTGGTAGGGGAATCGATACCGCAGGGAGGCAGCGCTGGTAGCGTCGTGAGTGCCAACTACATACCGGAGCATGGTGTCAACATTACTAGGATCCGATGCTATTGAAAGGCACATCGTATACCTTGAGCTTGTTGAGAATCCTAGAGGCCTCATCAACTTGGTTGTCGTTGACAGCAGCGCGCAGCACCTGCGCTTCCTTGTCAAGTACCTCGAGATTAGCAGACATAGTTTCGTATTGACTTCTATTATCAAGAGAATCTTTTTATTTTGGACAGAGTCACTGAATCGGGGTGGTATCTGTTGAGTCTACAACTCGATGAAGTAGCAGTGCACTCATCTATAAGGATTTGTAGATAGTTGTCGTTGCCGTGATGAGCTCAACCAGCATCTGCACCGGGATGAGACTTGCATCATGGGTAAGAACAATGTCGTACAGGTCCAAATATTCATCCAGATTCTCACTCACATGCACGTTGAGAAAACCAACGCGAATGATCTCTTCAGCGTCCAAACCCTCGACCATGCGGACATCATCCCGCGAGTCTCCTAAGAGTAGCACGTTGCGACGCCTCCCCAGATGGTGCTCTTTCCAAAATGATGAGTTCAGTAGCACGCGCGCAGTTTTGTTAAGCGAGTGGATAAGTTTACCATCAAAGCCTTCGATAACTCCTTCGGCATTAAATCGCATCATATTGGATACCACGTGCATATTGCTAGGTGTCGACACTTTGCTATTCCCCTTCATAACACCAAATTCACTAGTGCGGTTTTTCTCTGCAGCAAATTCTTGCTCAAGAGCAGCATGGATCACGTCATAGAGTCCGGCTGAGAATATCAATATAGGTACTTCTTGGTCATACAGTAGCTTCGATAGCGAATGGAAGCCCTGACGAAAACTCAAGGATCCAAGAGCCACGGCTTGTGTCACTTGCTTCTTGGTCACTTTATACTCGACCAAAATTTGGTGCGCACTTTTCCACCAGTCTACCATCAGCGGCAGCTTCTCGTACGTTGACAATACAGGAGATATTTCTACGGGGTAAAACCGTGCAAACAGCTCTTGCTCCCCTTTACAGATCTGTGGATGGAGTACAGTGCTAGTCATGAGAAGTCCATGACTACTGCTTTCCGGTTCAAGTGGTCCGTGAGGATTACTATTCTGCTTGTAATACGGCGTGAGCGTTCGATCAAAGTCGGCGATCACTAACAGCTGGTCTGCACCATCCCGTGTAAACTTTTTCATCTTGCGTGCAAACGCATCTTAAACGATATGGTTAAACCTAATGGATTACCGAAAGACTTGACTTTACTGTACCTGGATCTCCGACAACCATACGTGGAGAACGGCGTTGGCAAGGGGGATGAGCTTCAGTTGAAGATGCTTCGGCAGATGTACTCACTCGTGAATTATGAGTCAAGCGTGACGTCAAAAGAGCTGCTGTATAGAGCGGCAGGGGACGAAGGGAACGCCACATCATTGAAACGAGTACAGTTGTTATCACTAAATAAAATTCTGATTTTATTTGGATGTGTACAGCTCATGAACTAATTGCCTCATCACATTTGATGCTTTGGAGACTTATTACACTTAAATACAAAGCCTATGCGTTCATCACAATCCAAAGATATGAAATCCCACTCATCAAGATTTGCTTTAACGTCCTAAGTATTAGCTGTCAGACAGCAAGAAATTACGCTAAATGCAAAGGGCTGCTACATATAAAAACACATAGAAGCAGGCTATAGAGTGAATCTTAATGCTGAAAAAAGAGCGCAGCTCATCACATATAATTGACAGCGTGACGAAACTGTGATGTTCTGAAAGCGATCAAGCGCGCCACATTACGGATTTGCTCTACTTAATCAATCAAAACATAAAAAACGCTTCGCAGCTTGAAAATACACGACGTTGGATCATTGAATAACCGTTGCGCTATTATTGTCAAAAAAATACTCACTTGTGAAGCATATATCTGAAGCGACTATATTATTAATTTCATCGCAAACTTGCTCAAAAATTTAGCGAGACGATCTCGAGCGCCAGACTGGTCATCAACTCTACCCACATGATGGCAATGCGCATCATCACCAGCAACAACCCGAACAAAGCGTGGGCCAGGGGCAAACAAAGTGATCGCACACTCAGAGCTTGCAAAACAATGTTTAATTTTTCAATCAAATGTGCGTATCCACTATTTTCGAGTTTGACATCGAATCGGAGTTAAGCCACATTAAATGCTGTGTCATTATGTAACGTGACGAAATCCGCGGCGCTTTGTCAAGTTTAAAGGAGAAGAGATGCGATTACCGCATAAAATATTTACTTCGAATATCGAGCTCCTATGTTAATATTCTTTATCTTACTTATTCGTATGAATTAGACAGCAAACTAGTTTGCAAAGTCTCTTCACATGAGTGTCTAAACCGCGCAAATGAGGTGGGCAGCACACTAACATCGCGCTTGAGAAAGCTGTCTTGAATCCAGAACTGTACTATATTGAGAAAACTTGGGCACACAATCATGACTAGTACTAGCTCTGTAAATGGATATCCACGTAATGAATGGAAAAGCAGTTCACCAACGAGGCCGAGGGGTGTGGCCGCTGCTATCATCACGGAAACCACAATGGCCTTTGAAAAGACAATAATAACTAGCCACGACATCAGCTGGAGTGCCCACACTCGATACGACGGCGGATTACCATATTCGCCACTCTCTTGGATATTTACCCAATTCATGGAGAAAGCCAGCTCTTGTTGTAACCGAAGAAACGCTAGACTCACAATCATACCGAGCGTACAATCACTGAGGAAGTTGAGGAAATACCATGCACACTCGTCTGTCACAGGTGGCATTTGAATGGATACGAATAGATTTATTATGTGGCCCACTGACGCGCCGATCATCTGTTTGGCAATGTCCATAAGCCAAATCTGCAATGGCCGTCGCGGGCGCTCAACGTGGCGCTTGTACCAGAGCGTTGCAATGGCTACCAAACCCAGAAGTAGCTGGATAGCGTACGAGGCCGCGTCCGAGAACAATACGCATTGTTCTCCGTTTCCCTGTAAAAGTTTTGACGTCATTGTTGCATGGTACATGCGTGTCATCTAGACCGCTAGCGCTATAGTGATCTGCGCATGAACCACGATCTTTTGATACGAAGGGTCGTACGGTAGCTCTTCATATCAAACATAACAGCTGTTGTTTTCTGATACTTAGATATATTCCACTAGATATCTTTGTTGAAGTCAAGAAAATAGCTGCAAGTATTCTCAGGCTTTGTGACTTAATTCGACTTGCGACCCTTTTCGTTTGTCCTATGCTGAATCTGGTTCAGAATTTGAAGCGAGCGCCGTGATGCACCCGTACCAGCACTGGCGCCTGCAGAAGGTGGAGTTTTCTTATTCTTAGCTAGTAAAGAATGTGCGGTTGGTGTCAGTGGCTGTTGCGAGGTAGGCCGCTGCGCGCCTACAGAACGTGTTTTAAGCCAATTGACAGGTTTATTTGGATTCAGAACGCTCGCGTCGTTGTAGGTCTTCGAAGCAAACAATCGAGACTTTGACCCTGTAGAACGATAACTTTGGCCCGTGGAAGTATCACGCTTTTGTACTCTCGAAGCACTGGACGTCGGAGTCTTGTGCCGAGTTACTTCGGCAACAGGAGACATGAAACTTGGGTCGGAACTAGCAGCTGGCTTCAACGGGAAAAGTCCATTCTCGGTAGTTTCAAAATATTCTAAATCGTCCAAGTGTTCATGAATTTCACGAAATGTTGGACGCACACCCCATGCTGTACAGCGCATGAAAAGATTGTAGTATGGACCCAATCGAGCTTTAGCAGCATCAGAGACATTCGTCACCGTCACGTCTTGTAGCAGTTTGTGCAAGCTGCGCATCTCAATGAACTCTTTTGGCACGATCTCGCCAACGAGCAAGCGATACAAAATTTCTCGGCCAAACGCACCAACGTCGCAATTTTTGTGAAAACTGAACGAGGAGTCAAGAATTTTTGGTTCATCAGACGGAAGTTTGATGCGACCAAAATCTGACAATTTAATGTCTGGTTCCCAGCTTTTTTCGTAGCCCTCGGGCGGCGTGCGCATCAGAATGTTTCGGCACGCAAGATCACCATGAGCAACGTTTATATCTTCGTGAAGGGTAATCATAGGCAAGCAGATTTGCTTCAACATAGCCTTGGTATCGTCAAACGAGAGAGTATAGCGTCGGTGCTTCGATCCTCCTAAATTCACACCGTATCGTCTTAAATAGTCGCTAAGCTTGCAGTCCATGACCTCCAGCGCGATGCATGTGTGCTCAATTGCATCGCACAAGCCGAGACATTGCAGAAAACCCTTCATATGACGCACGCGGCGCAAATAGTGAAGTTCGAGCGCAGCGCGGTGCTTTGCCTCGTGCTCAGGGATCCCTTCATACGGTTTCGCACGCTTTAAAGCAATTTTCTGCCCGTTGATCACAGCTGCAGTCACCTTTCCGTCCGTACCTTCACCGTAAACACCACCTGTGTATTCAACATCCACCTCGCAATTAAAAAGTCCAACGTCGCCGATAACGGAAGTGCTTGTAAATGCTCTCAAAGTCGTATCAGCCTGAGCAGCAGTCGCGGTGGCTTCATCGAGAGGCGACATGTTGTTGCTCTCTTGAGACAACGGGTCGACGTGACTGTTAACAATACTTAAAGATTCTTGAGACAGACCCACATCATCCTGAGACTGCATAATAACTTCACCATCGTCATGAATGATGTGATAGCAATCGTCTTGATCATCGATACTATGAGATTTTTTTATCACGACGCTTGATTTGGAACCAACGTCAGCATGCTCAGTCTTTGAAGACAAGTCGTTTGTTATTTCTTGTTTCTCTTGCGTTGGATTATAATTTAATTCTTCCGTCTGACTCGACCGAAGTGAGTTCGATGCGGCACTATACGGACTTTGAACGACTGGATCTTGATGAAGTGGACTAGCTAACAATTTATTCGGAATAGTGAATGACATTGTTTTTTTGGTCTCAGGACTCGTCAATGTCATTGGTCGACGTGGCTGTGGACTTGTGAAACTAAAGGGTTGTCGAATCTGAGTTGCAGACACTGGAGATGTCATCTGCGCTGATGCGGGTCTTTTCACTGGTGTAGGCGCTTGAAGTCGTTGCTGCAATTTCTCGTTTGTCTTAAGGTTTTTCTCAAGCTTTTTTAATGCTAGAGCTCGATTCTCTGGTCGTGGTGCACGCTCAGGGGAAAATGAAATCATGCGCTTTCTGTTCGAGGCTGAGGAGCTACTTTGGGCAATTCCTCTTACCACACTTTTAATTGGTATATTTGCTGAAAGTACTGGAGGTGTATTCTTCTCTGGCGTCAGGTCAATGCCGCTTGTCTCGTGCAATTTCTGTCCAATCGTCTCCAAAGGCGACATAACACTTGATTCTTGGGATCGTTCCTTTAGCGATACTTCAGCGCCACTTGTATTTTCTAATTCGACTATCTCTTTGGCTTTAAACACAGCATACTTTTCCACTAAATCTCTCTCTGGTGACTTTAATCTAGGGCTAACACGACTTTTCTCCGTCTCAAATAATATGGATTCCATCTTTTCCAGTTTCCTTTCTTCTAGCGTGTCTTGCTCTAAATTTTTCGTCTTTTTAAGCGCACAGTCATTGTGATCACCTTTTGACTTCTCAATTTTATCTGACTCAAGCTCCTCTTTGTCCTCCTCTTCCACTTTCTCTCGAGCCGTCTGCTTTTGCGTCTCCTCAGGCATCTCTTCACTAGCTAGCGCAACCTGGGCTGCATGAACTGCATGCAAGTATTCTCGGTTCTTTCTTCTCATGTATCGATCGTTAACCCAGACACCGTTGCCAAATTGCGGTGGCCGCTCAGGTACTGGGAGAGCCGCAATTGACGCCATCTTGAGCTTTTCATTACGCGATCGTTTTCTTTGCTCAATATCCAGCCGCACCACACTGCGAGTGCGACGACGCGAGGTCGTGGGCGGCATCTCTTCAGTCAAAGGGAGGTAGGTGTACGTATATAATGGCGCCAAGCTTTTTTGTGAAATTTGGTTACAGATAAAATCCTATTACATTATAATTTACGTCAAGTACTGTACTGAACCCTTATACTTTTGTAATTGTGAGTATTCATAAGAACCAGAATATATCGATATCTATGAAGAGGGGCTCATAGAAAATGACGAAAGTATCATTATGAGAGAAGAGAAACGTACAATTTTAGATTAGTATCAAAAGAATTCACAAAGCGCTGCGTCAAACTGATGCGTCTGGTTTAATCAGAAACAGTCGCACGTCTGAAAGCGCCACAAATGCACTTGACTTGATATCCTAGCTGCTGAAAACGTGACGAACGTCAACTGTTGCCGCCGCGTCAAAAAAAGGCACGGCTATTCATTTGTACTTCGAGTCGTCACACGACCGATTCGGGCAAAGACTACATCCACAGCGAGTATGGAGCGTAAAATGATCAAATACCTGTCTTCGGGCGGATAGACCAGCTTGACAAGCTTTTGTCTGTTTCGGGTCCTGATGGAAACGGGGAACTGGAGGTCAAAGGACTTGCTTGACGTAGTAATCGCTCGCCTGGAGGCGCTTATTAGTTTTCGGAATGCAATGGTGAGGCACGTCCAGGAGAAACTCATTTGGGTGCAGGTCGAGGAACAAGTGGGTCCTATCGTAAGGCAGCTGATGTTAAGCGTCGAGAGATCTGAGGGTCGGGACGCAGAAAACTTCTCACTTCGGATGAGAAAAATTGAGAAGTCATGCATTCGATCTAGATCCAAACGGAGCCGCAGTGCGTTGCGCTTGTGTACTCCTAGCTAGGATGTTGCGCGCGGGAATGGGCCCTTACGTGCAATACTTTGGCAGTAGAGGCGTCCCAAAGATGGGGCGATTTGAAGTGATAGATGCCGCAACTATTCGCGCCGCGTGAACGGGTAGTCATGTATTTTGTAAGTTCTTGTCTACCCGTCAAGAGAAGCAAGAAATGGCGGACTATGTTCAAAAGTTGAGACCTCTAATCGCCGTAATGGCATCCGGAGGTGGTAATGAATATCATCTTAGAAGGGTCAACATACAGGCGCGCCAATTCCTTTTGGGCTAGCTCTATCTCGTCAAAGGAATCTGTGTGTCGCATTTGATGCGGGTCACGACTTTTGTGCGGTGAGGGTAGGATACGGTGTGGGTAGGTGTTGCTTATGAGCGGTGATTCATAGTCATGCTGGGAAGAAGAGAAAGATGTTTTAGCTGCTGAGCAGCTTATACGTACCCGCAAAAGTTTCATCTGCTTTTGTGCAGATTATCTGCACTTTGCATACCCCCTTTGCTCTCGAATGCGTTGTACGAAGAGCTAGATTTTCACGTAATTGTGGACGACAACCTCTCACGGAAATACGTCGAGTCCCCGAAGGCCGCCCTGTGTTTACTGGAAGAGTTGAACTCTAATCTGTCAAGTGAAGGACATGATCAGTGAGGCCTATTTTTTATGATGCTAAGGGGGTAAAATCACGCTGTTGATGCCGGCGTCGCGGGCAGACAAAATCCGTGGATAATTAAGAAGCGTCGTGCAACATGGACACTAGTAAAAGCGTCATAGATTTGTTTGAACCTTCGAGAAAGTTCAAGACCTTTGACAGCGTTAAGCTTTGTCCTAGACTCAGATTTATCATACGACTTCGAGCTAGGCATGGTGTGAAATGTTACAAGTCATGTATAGACTTAATGTAAAAAATTGGTGCTACGCCGTCTCTCCTCGAGAAAATCTGACGAGTTATGAGCCCAATTCTACCAGTAGGTAGAAGCTCTTTTGGTACGCCCCGCAGGTCAAAATTGGTCGTTATGGTTTTGCTTGGTGCGTCAAGCAGAGCCCGGACGGAGGCGTTGTTGAGGACCCTAGCATTTAAACAACATCGTGCTTACGCACAATTCTATTATTAGGATATATTTGCCTATGATCGGGAAGTCGGATCGTTTAACCATACTGAACATTTGCGAGCGGTGTGTGAGTGTATGCGCTTAGATACGCTATTCGCCAGTAACGAACACTTTGACTTTGATGCAGGAAATTCGCTTACTGGATTGCTTCATTCGAAAGAATGTAGTGCAAATAAATCGCAAAGGAATGGGTCGTAGCTGATCAAACAGTGCCTTTGTCTAAAAAGAACTTGAGGAATTTGCTCGCTACGTGTAGTCGTGCCTCGTGGTGAGACACTCAAGTACAGAGTACTGTATTAGAGCACATGATACTTCTTGGGTTGTTACATCGGCGGAAAATGGGCAAAAATGCTCAGTGCGTGTCATGTATGGGAATCCCAACATGTATGAGCGGATACGAAACTATAAGCGCACAGGTTAAACGTAGCAGTGGTTTAAACCTCCGCTGTGTATCGTTTTCCGTGAACAAACTTCCGGTTTTGGCCGAGTGCTGGCAGTTCATAAATTCAGACCTTATGTTTAATTTCTAGAGGAAGCATTCGATGATACCGATATTGTTCTCTCGGTTTCTGGCAGAGCAAGATGGCTCATCGCAAAGCTGCTAACAATAATATGACCGGTGAAGACACAGTCAAACTGTTTCTTGTCAAAGTGGTTTGCTTACTTGGCTTGCCGTTGGCCATTGTATCAGATGAGGATTCGTGCTTTTTGACCAAGTTTTACTGACTATTGGCCAATGTGTGCTGTATTAAATTAGAAACGTCAATCAATGATCTGCAAGTAGAGAATAAGACGGAGCGCGTAGATTCGGCGGTGATATAAATCCTCCAAAGGTCTTGCGCATAAAATGCGGTGTTGGAGCAAGTTGCTCTTGCTCATTTGAGTTAAGAAATTTATTTCAGGCCTTTACCAGCTGGTTTGTGAAACCTCCAGAGGGTTTGACACTGCCACAAGTGGCATCGGCTTTTGTTGGGGAGGAGACGTAGATGGAAACTGACCTCCTGATATTCGATTAAGTACACGTAATAGTAGCTAATATTATAAGAACGTTTGTTACTCGCCGAGTGTGTAACTCAATGGCTGAGAGCGAGGCTATTTTTAAGCAAGACGCCGACATAAGGCAGCCAAAACACTTATGAATTTATGGTGGGGAAGGCCTTATCAAACATTTTCCAACACAATTATTGCCAGTGGTGTTGATGATTAAGTTGCGTCAAAGTTAGATCGGACCTTTTATAATGGTAGGGAACACATCTGATATACGTCTTAACATCACAAAGATATTGCAAGCATAGTATGTCATTTTCGCAAACTTACTAAGAGCCGTCATATAGTCCCGATTTTGAAAGTCAGTCAAATAGAGCGACTTTTGGAGACGGAGCAGCGTCTTGATCCCCTGAAGTTATTCTACCCTTTGTTGTAAGGGTAGCTTAACTTCAGGGAGATGGTGTCGTAACCACGCAGTAACATATTTTAACTTAAGAACTTATTCCAGAGATAGAACATGTCGGCATCCTTTGTGCTCTGATTTTCTCGAAGATAAATGACGTGACATCATAATCGAGCGAGCTCACGAGAGTTAGCCGCGCGAGAGTCGTACTTCGCCAGCACTGCTCGATGAGATCATGGTAGTCCACCTCCACGTGAAAGATTTGGTGGACCGGTGGGCTCACCAATGTAACCACCAGTTGTGGTGAATTTGAAGAGAGCTCTGACACCAAGTTCCTGGAGAAAGGCAGTGTTGTTGTGCGCAGCGCACTTTCCGCAAGATAGTGGAACCCGACATGGACTACATTAAAGTTTCAGCCAGTAGCTTTTATAGCCGTCTCATGGAGATGAGCGGAGCTGTTAGCAGCACGATATAAATGTGATGAGCTTCCAACTTGATATACACGTCGTGCTGTGTGCTTCGCAAGCTCCATCACTAAATGACGCTTTAATCATACGTGTGATTTAATCAAAATGGCTTGTAGTCCTTCTAGGCGAAACATGAGATTACCTTCTTCACAGTGCGTGAATTGTGTGAGATAAATATTCGCCTGCATTTCGTAGTAGAGAAGCGGTCTTAAAGAGAATACGAACTGACCTCACCATTGCTGTTCTACGCGCAGGCGGTATACGTGAAAAGTCGCGATTCGGGGGGAAATCTCTCACGCAGTATGACTTAAGAACGCTTGTTCTACTGACTGTCAGCAAGCATACCGAGTGTGGTAACTCTGCGTAACCCGTAGACGAATGAAATTCATACTAACGAATGGTCGAGTCGTTGACTCTAATTCTTGTAAATTGAGCAAGATGGGCGCCATGAGCCAAGTTGAGCTGGACATCATTGTGAGCTTCGCGGTGGGGTGTCGCAGCACTTTATCATGATTAGAATAGGCACGAATTGTTTAGTTTAAGCAGAAGAATGCGGATCGCCGCAAACGCCTCTTATAAAGTTAGCGGCAATGAAGTGCATCTCTCGGTGAGGGCTGAAGTGTTGGGTCAGGACTCGGAGAGTCGGTTCATTGTCCTTGTTCAAGAACACCTCGGCCTCCCCACTGAGACCGGCGCTAATGTCGTCGGCTCATAGGACAGCATCTTATCTGAAAGCTTTTTATATGGAGGTATCCAGGTAGTATCAACTTTTGCACAGTGTCTCAAAAGACAAAACGTGTACGAGACCCGATGTGGTCTACATTTTTGTGGCGTGGTGTACGGGTTACGTACCGAAAAAATGTGTATATACACAATACTTCTTGTACAATTGTGCAAAATACTTATCACATGTTAGTATAACCGTGCACAACTCACAGGAACCAAAGTTCTAGTGTCGATGAGAATGATAAGACTGCGCGAAGAAATATTCCTTGGGTCACGTGGGCTGTTAATCTCACGTCATGCAGTGTACGAACACTTGTTATCGTGCAAATAGAACACTTTATAATATAGTATTGATGGAAATAAACTTCATTTTAGGTATATGGAGAGCTAAGCAAAAAATGAGAAGTCGAGTGATAGGATCACGGCTCAATGGGTGGGGTAACGCAGACTCTTAAATCATATGTTCCGCTATGCAAAGTGTAGCGCAATTTGGTTGAATACATTTAATTACCTTAAATAATGAAAGCTGATTAAAGGAGTGTGTGGGACAAGATGTCAATTTTTAGCGCACCTCTCGCCTTCTTTTCAATGCTAGATTGTGGTGCTTCACCATGGAATTTTACCACATTATTTCACTACATTACTCTTACTTTGCATTAAGTGCAGAAGTGAAGCGTTTACGTACACTATCATATCTCCCTATCTCGACATAAAATAACAAAGTATGTTCTGAATGATTCGTTGTATTCTGTGATTATATCGCAATACCTTGGATTGAAGATAAATACACACCGATGAGAGCACATCCAGAACATTATTTACTGTTTGAACACATGACTAGAAATACCACCACAAGCTTGTGTGGCGGCTCTAAGGACATTATTGGCGAGAAAGGAAGGACGAGAATAGTCAAAGTGACCCTCTGAGTCACGCCGCACAGTCATCGTATTCTTCCGAAGGCTGCTCTTCATCAATTTGAGCTTGTTTGGAGCTTGAACACAACAACGTTCATACTCGTTTAAATTGCGCACACTGTGCTTAATTCAGAAGCGAAAAGTGGCCAGACGCCCTACTATGGAGTTATTGATGAAGGTGAACAACTACAAACAAATTTGATCTGAGTCAACGAGTCCAGCTTGCTTGTCGATCCGCACACAGCTCGCAGTGTCTTAATAAGACTGATCGACCGTGAACTGATTCGATTTCAGCCAAAACCCCACCAAATGCTTATTTCTGCGAAGTACAAAGCGCGACGTTGAGGTCAAGAAGAGCACACGTCCTTGCCCCCTTTCATGTCGACAAGAAGATATAACATATATGTATCGGATGACTCTCACTTTTACTCTCGTCATCTCTTCTCTACACAAGTACTGGCAGTAAAGTACTTCGCGGTCAAAAAAAGCGACGGGTGGATTATGGAATTTGTCCGTAATCAACCCGTTAGAGGCTTCAACCGAACTTTATGACCTTTTTGAAGAAGTCGTAAGGACAGCTAAACTTTCCATGTAAAATAGATCGGCTGGGGGCGTACGTGAGCGGAAAATACTTAAGTAATGAGGAAAAAAGATCAAACTATATTTGACAAGGCTCTCCACATGTATGATGATATACAGACCCCCATCCATTGCAGCCTCGTTTCATCTTTACATTCGCAAAATTGTTTGATTTACGGATGATTTGGCGCAGTCATATAACATGATATAAGCCAAACACTTAAATCAAGCTGAAAAGTCTACATAAACCAACCTGGATCGTTGATCCAGAACCTGCCTTCGTAAAATTGCTAAACAACTTTCAGTCAAAAGGACGATCTAGTGCTCAAGACGCCTAGAAATCACCGTTTATCCCTGAAGCTACAATTTATCGCCTCGAATTTTTCTTATGCGTCCACCCAATATTGTTTGGCACTAATCCCCTCGCGCAAATAAAAGCCAAAATCATTGGAAAAATGGGAGAGCGCATCGGAATAGACATTCTGCTGCATTGCGTTATTCTCTAACTGATATTATGAAGGCAGGGTTTTTGAACGAGCCCAACTCCCTCCACTGGCTGCTTAACTTAAGCCTCAATACAAATATCAGCCAGTATAACAATGTCGTGATTTGAGGATATAGAAATTGAATTGCTAGCATCAGCACAAATACACATACTGCGCTTCAGATACTCATCACAATTGTTTTCCGAACACTCTTTTCGACTAATTTAGCGTAGTCATGACTACTTCGGATATCTCCCACAAATGTCTTCCGTGCACTTTCTTAGGCTGATCAAAAGTTGTCTAAATAACAGCATACAGAACCCTAACCTAGTCTGCATAAACTGCACGTCTAAAGAATTACACGTTTAATGAAGTCTGTTACTACGAACATATTCATGTGAATTTCGGTACCACCAACATCGTTGTGCTGCTTCTGTTTGTCTTTTCTCTCAACCCTAGCGTTGCGCTTAATGTGTATGGCGATCAATCTGATTGAAATATATCGCTGATTTCGCTTCAAAGAGTAGCCGATCTGATATCAGCAAGTCCATTTAGATAGATCACCCCTTCTCCACTGATGGCAGAGCCACTTCGCAGTGGTGTCAAGATTATTCGGAGATTTCCCAAATTATTTATGTAACTTGGGGTGAACCCTGTAGAGTCATGTACTGCATCAACGAATGAAAAGTTGAATCAGTGGGAGCAACTCACTCCATGAAAGCGTTATCTTCAGTCAAAACCCCAAAGGATATCTCCCACAACACAATCACGCATTCTGTCTGGCTAATTTCTTGCGGATGGTCAGCGGCTGCCACATCGAAAGTGAAATCGAGCAACTTAAGAATTGTTTGCTAGAACTTTGCTGTAAAGCGCGGATTTCTATCTGATACATGGCGACCAGCAAGCCTTGATGGCAGTAATTTGATGGTCAGTCTTGCTCAGACACTTAAGGAGACCAAAATATCGGTAATAGCGGACGCGACGTTTGGAAGACTGATAGCTGAGTTTGGATTTATGGCCTGACATTACTCTGTCGGTTACGACGAGCTGGCAAAAGATGCCACCGGATACGACAGAGGTGTAATCTGCTGACTCGTTTCACACTGTGCTTTCCTGCTTAAGCATGTGAAGTCACCATTTTGTGGTGCTTGCCGGGGAGTGTGTCTTATCTCGACCGAGATAGCTATTAAAAGGGGCATCGTGTGCCTATACTATAAACCTAATCTCTTCATCACTCCACACAGAGTGTCGTGTAGCCCAGTGCTGTAATGCAGGGTACCTTCAAGTAAGACAAAGCGATGCAGGTATGCAAGTGCACATTTTGATAAAGCGACTTATAAGCTCTCGAACGTTTTTTTCTAAAAAACGTTCGGCAGCACGATACATATCGCGTCTGTCTTGTACGCTTTAGCGTCGCTATTTCAAATAAAGATGTCAGTATTGTGATATATGACAGCTTATTGTCGGGGCGACGCGAAAGCGTACCATCAGCACAGTAAACCGATCCAGCTTATGCTTTACCTCGATTTATACTCGGCAAAAAAAATCCCACCATTTCCCGCGTTAGGAGTGGTCACGAAATCGATGTGCGTAGCATCGTATGACCTGTACAGATAATAAATGGCGTGCACCATAAATTTGACGGGGTTATACCTCGTTGCAGTTTGCTCTTTGCCATGGACAGGGTAAGTTTTGCAGCGGTCGTCAGTTAGCGGGACTTTAATGTATTCCCATATTCATACTCATTAGGTATCTTTTAAAGGCAAGGAGTAGCCTTAATGAGGAAACCGGCAAGATTTTGCGCCACACCAGTATAGCTGTAGTGTACATGAGCAAGTAGTTGACCAATTATAATTACTTCTTTGAGTCCATTGAGAATACAAGCATTGGCTACTCCACAATGACCTTGCGGAATCTGCCCGCGATCCTACCAGCCCAAAAAGAGGATTTTGTTGGGATTGAAGACATACATGGGTATACTGGCAGAAGCTAATTTGACTGCGTATCTTGAGTACCGTTCAAAGCAGCCATTTACTAGGTGAAGAGCACTGAACAAATGCTGTAAACCATGCTATCGTACAACCAATTTTTCCTATGACTTGGCTTTTGCGACTGCATTCGGCTTATTATGTGCAAGCACCAGCCTATCTGACGCAGAAAATTCACCGAGAGAGAAAAATTATTTGCTTCCACCAAATCTGCTTCGCGCTTCGCACAGAATAAAACGTCGACGATGTCACAATGATTCCTTTGAATGTGTCATTGCCATTGACACAAAACCGGGCCGTGACACATTCTTCGCCTAGAGATGGCACATGTGGTGAATGCTATCAGCACCAAGTCATGATATTCCTCTGGAAAGGAATTGTAGGATTCTTGACTATAACTGTCCTACATTGTGCATTCAGTGCTCTACGTTTTGGATCGGAGGAATCTCTCTAGCTATATAAGCGCATTTCTGGAGCTATGGAGGATAAGCATTCAACCCTTAAAGTATTCTGGTCACTGAGTTCACGAGTGACTCATATGTCCCACCAGTTACCCGTGGGTCTTCTCTATTTTAGACGGTGAGCATGTCACTGGTTTTGCGGTACCGTAACATCGTTATATGGATGGACCATACTTCTATCTTCAGATCATAGCCATTTTCTTTGCGACTATAGTTCCTTTTAACTCAACCGGATCTAGTATAGGAAATCAGCTCCTAGCAGCCTATAATCAACCTACAGCTAATCCTAAGCGCCCCCGACACAGATACCGTCACAAACATTGTTCTTTCTCGTTCCCGCAGAGACAAGCTCTAGAGACCGCGGTTTACAGTCGCCATTTTCCGTCTCATCCTGAGAAATCGGTTTACTGCCGCTTCTGCCTTCCGAGCTCTACTTGAGGCACTAAGCAAAACCATAACAACCAATTAGGACAATCCTATCGGCTATACAAAGGCTATCGCAGCTTTGCACAAGAGCTAAAGTGTTTCTGTGTCCTAACAGAGGTGTATGGATGAATCGCGACTACGTTTAGATGTGTAGGTTGGCTTCCAGACGATGGCATACCAGCCCCATCATGTATAAAATGAAATCGTATCTCATATCTAGGTCAAGGACCAGACAATGTTTCTTGGTGTTAGAGTCATCATGCTTAATTTAAAAGATCAACATAACCTTCGATGCTATCACCAGTGTCCTGTCGCAATACACGCGCACAACGTATTCGTATCTGGCCTCTTCAAGTCTCTGCATGATATCAACTGTTTTTGCCATTTGAGCGTTGAACAACATGGCATAACGCTCCGGAATCTATTAGGACTTTAATGGCTTCACAATGCTCGAGAAGTTGATATGAACAACAGCAACCCTGGGCTAATGGCTTGACTGAGTTGAGAGTCCGGTCCTGATATAAGTCTTTTCGTGGTCAACATAGTTACCTTGTCGTCTCGAATGTAAATTACGGAAAATCATCAATGCCTGGCGGTAACATAGAGCGCTTAATACTGCTGCACTATTGCATAGCGATGTATAATTAAAATGTGGCCCCACCTGGTCAGAGATAGTCGCTCTTATCAGGGCTAAGCTCTAATTGACCACGACGTCTTTGAGGCAGAATAAAATGAGGATTTTTCAACCGAGCGCCCTGCTCCTAATAAAATTTGATGATTTTTCCGCAATGGATTTGTCGTCTGCTTATGCATGAAAGCCCGACCTTTGTATCTCAAAGCTGAGAACGATGAGGATACGCAGGCTGCAGATGTTCTGTTCTACCGCGAATAAGTCATCTGCATCTACTGCAGAGCTGCTTGAAAGCTATAAGATTTCTCCCGGTATGCCTGAGATCAGTCGCCACTGGGGCGCTCGTAGCGCTTACACTGCTAGCTTCCTGTCTTACCCTCGCGACACGAAGCTGCACTCTGCATTAATGTTCGCTTCTTCAAAATAGGTCGGGTGGTTGCGAAAAGTCTCGATGCAAGCCCTATTTGTTTGGAGACCGTTCATGGAGATAGTAACCGTTATCGCCTTTGAGAGAGGATCAGACGCCAGTGCGGCAATTAGAACTCTAAGCTCCTGGACATAGTCCGCCGGTTCTTCCCACTAATTAATCAAAGATAAGGATTTTAATCGCGGTCGATACGTTTGGTTAAGCGATGCGACTATTCCCGACGTCGGTTGCCTACAACTGTCCCACGTTGGAGGCGCCTTTTTACCGAGGTATAATCGCGTAAGTGCCCATTCTCTCGTGCGACTTCATAGCTTGAAGATCGCAAGCGCGACGCGCTGTGGCACTGTTTTTGAAAAGGTCGAATCCATTTTCATCTCATCTTCAACCCTCCTTCATCGTACCGGATCTCAGAAGCCAGGTGCGGTCTCCCGCCTATTTTCTCATCAGCGCTCAGTTGTGGCACTCCTGGACGTGCCTCACCAGCGCACTGACGAAGCTGGTAAGCGCAACAAAGCGATCTATACCCTTTCGGCCAGTTGACTGCCAAATCTCTGATCCTATCGGAACCCCTATTAGACAAAAGCATGTTAATCTATTTGTCCCGTGGGCATTTCAAACTTTATCCATGCATACGATTTTGTCGTGAGATTGACTGCAAGTGCTTCCAAGTATAACGAGCTTGCCATGCACGTTGTGCAGAGTTAGCTTTGACTCTCAGATATCGCATTGAATAAACGGTTGGGTTCGTGCGCTTTTACCAGAAAAGAAACAGAGAGCGCCTCAGATAATCAACAGTGTGCTTTCCTAAGAGTATTTTGTTTCTATTCTGCCTAGAGCTAACTAAATATGCTTAACTATTCCTTTACATACACTTGCCTTTGTTTCCTGCGTGAATCTGATTATGAAGTTCCGTAATTTCACAAATACCAATATTCCGGTACTTCTGAACATTTGAAATTTCACTAAGTATAATGTGAATATCGTACACAATTGTATTAAATATTCAAGGATTAAGTACACAAGAATACGTTACTTGCCCTCCTGATCGCTTTTTCAGTGACGTGAAAGCAATTGACCTTGTGAACTACCCTATCAAATCTCCTTGGTCCTAGACGATCTATACTGCTTGTCCAGCATCGTTCTCGTGAACTCTCACGAATTGGCATTTCGTCGTCGTCTCGCGTTCTTTCGCGGCCGATGTGCGTCGCTAGTATTTCTCGTATTTCTTTAGTGATCAGTGTTGCTGAGCGTTAGACGATGAGGACACTGTTGTAAATGTTCTCAAAGTGTATCAAAATTTTCGAAGTAAAGTATTTCGGACTGCTGTAAATACCTAAAATAGTGTAAATTGTGCACTGACACACGATATCAGAAGAAGATTCGGCAAAATATCCGCTTTGCCTTCATATCACTCTGATTGGTCAAATGTCAGAGCTAATATGCTACTCATGGTGTTTCGTATTTTTCAACAACTATTGGCATCAGCATTATGGCAAGGGCTGAAGAGTTAACGCTGTCCTTTGGCCCCGCAGAGTACAAGAAATTGTTTCCAGCTGCATACATGCAACAATGTTTAGCTAAGAAAGTTAGAGTGGACTCGCGCACTATTAATGCCACTCGTCCCGTACAGTTACAGACAGACGTGATCCATACAGCTGCAAGCTCCAGTCTCGTTAAGTTTGGCAAGACATCAGTACTAACTGCGATTAAGCTGGCTGTTGGAACGCCAGCAGTTACCACGCCCGATCAGGGAGAGATCGGTGCGACTGTAATTGAGTCGAGACTGATGGCATTATTATTAACATTGCTGCAGCCATTCAGGTGCATTTGTCGCCACTATGTTCGAGCCGCTTTTCATTAGGTCGACCGTCGGAGGAGGCACACAGTATTGGCAGCCAACTTTCTAGGATTGTCGTCGGGTGCGTCGTTGCAATAGTTGCCTGGTATATTCTTTTGCGTCATTTCATGTCTTAAATATTGCTTGTCGACAGCTCACGTGTGGTGGAGATGGAGAATCTATGTATTGCTAAGAGCAAAGCAGCATGGAAGCTCATGGTGGACGTTTATTGCGTGGATCATGATGGCAATGTGCTGGATGCTGCGCTCACATCTATCATGGCGGCATTAAAAACACTAAAACTACCAGCTACGTCCATCAATGAAACTGACAATGTGGTCTCAATCGTGCCAGGTTAGTATCAAGTGAAAGCTTAAATCGTTAGAATACGAAGAAAAATTAAAATCGTATCTGAACATACAGATGAACCTGCCACGCCGTTACAAGTGGATCATGATGCGTACGCAACCTCCTTTGCTGTAGTGGATGGTGTGGTTTTAATCGACCCGACGAGTGAAGAAGAACTTTTGGCCAGCGCCGTGTTCAGCCTCACATATACTACCGATGGACAACTTTGTAGCGTAAACAAAGCTGGTGGGTCCACTGTGACGCCTCATGTATTGCAACATTGTATGCAGATAGCTAAAGAGAATGCAGCGGCGCTAGCAAAGCTTGTTACTGCCTCCATATAGGTCAGCGTTAAGACTTTGGCAATTTTTAATAGACTCACGTAAATCAGAACAGGTTCTGATTTCGATCTTTTTTTGTCCTTGGACGATACTATTCGATAAGCAATAGATCCGAAGTAGAGGTGACTACTCGTGGTGCTTGTGGGTGCTGGAAGCAGAGTATAACAAGAATAAGTCGTTCTGTGCCATGAATGAGGACACGCCGTTATGGCGCTCACCAACGAGCGCCGTTGTACCGGGATCTACCGTTTGCAAAGGTTCGAAAGAGCGCACGCGAATACCGAGTCGCATCCGCAATCTTGGACTTTCACCAAACGTGATGACCCTGTGCATGGCTCGCTCTGCAATTTTGGCAGGTTTACTGCTGGTGATGACCGTTTGCTTCATTGGCAGCGCAATGCTGTCAATAACGGTGCAAAGTCCAGTAGCTTTCGCCACACCGGAATCTAACGTGGCAACAATAAGTGAGACTGCACAGCTATTAACAGAAGTCAACACTAACGAGATAAAAAACAGTCGAGTTGACACCACGTACGATGATCGTGTCCTATTTCTTCCAGGGTTTGGAGCGCCGTTGGAGAAGCAGGTGCGTCATGGAAACAAATCTTTTTGCTTTTTTGTGCACAATGACGCGCTTGAGCCAATGCTATTGCTCTCATAGATAGCATTGACGACCTGCATTTTCTTTTTCTTTTGATTGCATCGACAACTCGTGGCTTGACTATTTCTTATGTATGGCATGTAAACAGTATGCTGGTTTGGTTGGAGTGAACAAACTTAATGCAGGAAAACTCTTTTATTGGTTCTTTGAGACGCGTGCACCCATGCAGATCGATGACAAAACTCCACTACTGCTTTGGCTCAATGCTGGACCTGGCGCGTCGTCGCTAACACCACTATTTAATGAAATGGGACCTTATCGGCTCACTAAAGAACGGAAGCTGATTCCACATGTTCATTCGTGGACAAATATTGGTCACTTGCTACTCATCGATCAGCCTGTCGGGACTGGCTATTCATCTGTCCGTGATGAGGTTGGCCAGGTCAAGTCGCAGGACGAAGTCGCGGAACAACTTTATCGCGGTTTGCAAAAGTTTTACAGACGACACCCTGAGTACAAATTCAATCCGTTGTATGTGTGTGGGAAATCGTACGCAGGCAAGTTTGCGCCGTCCATTTCACACTATATCCACATCAAGAATAGTGGCGTTCTAGACCCAGATGACATCATCATTAATCTGACTGGACTAGCTATTGGTAATGGCGATATGTGGCCCGTGTTACAGACCCGGTCTGTACCTGACTTTGCCATTGCTTTGGGACTTATTGACTCGGAGCAATACGAAGAGGCAAATGCCCAGATTAGCGTGTGTGAGGAGTTACACCGCCAAAGACGGGATGTAGATGCTTATCAGATTTGTCAAGCTGTCACTCGCAAGATTTACAAGGCTGCAGGAAGTCCATTTATATATGACATTCGAGAGTCAGTCGACTCAATTAAGGACTTGAGTGCGACTTTATCGAGTTATTTTAACGACGATGCCGTGCGTCGAGCGCTGAATGTGCCTCCTGGTACACCATGGAAATCAATTGATGAATTGGTGGACGACACATCTCCATCAGCTCCGGCAGTTTTGCGAAACCTGCAAAAAGATCAGATGCTGGACGTTCCAATTGGTGTGTTTCGGGACTTGCTCGACAATTACAAGTTTTTGTTTTACGCTGGCAATATGGATGGATCAGTGTGCAATAATTTAGGTGTTGGACGAATAATTGATCGACTCGCATGGTCAGATACAGCCAAGTATCGTGTGGCAGTGCGGCAGCCGTGGAAGGTAGACGGTCGAGTGGCCGGACTTGTTAAGTCTGCAGGTAACATGAGCTACGTTGTGGTGCTAAATTCGGGTCACCTCGTGCCAGCAGATCAGCCAGAAGCTTCACTGGACATGATGCGGCGATTTGTCAACAATGAACCCTTCTATACGCTGTTTCCATAGTTAGCAATTCTACACCTTTAGAACGCATGGCAGCTCCTCCACGCAATAAATATTTCGTGCTATGTTTAGCACTGGAGTGGCCACAGGCTGTGATACTATATTGTGAAGAAAGCCAAATAGATACTTTTATTTTCTTATACACATCCAAGTCGTAGTACCAAGACCAACTTGGTGAGGATGTTTTATTCTCTCAAATAACAACCGTCCACTCACGGATGGAGTAGGAAGTAACGAGATTATTGAGAACGTAGGGGTCAGAAGTCGCAAATTTCTCGATAATTTTTTTGTCTGAGACGTTAAAAATGAAGACACCGGCGTCTGGCGGGTCCACGAGTGCACCGCCCATAACAACATTTCCGTCCTTCTTGGCAGTCACTGCACGCTCTAGGTGCTCAGCGCGATAAGGACCACGGCGATTCAAAATATCATGAACGTACTCATAGCGTAGGATGTAATACTTCTTATCAGTGACAGCAGACATAGCGCGGGACAATGGAGACAGTGGGCGGGAGAAAACTTTGCTGATGCCGTTTGCTAGCATGTCTGATGAAATTTTGCAAATTTGGTTATGTAATTTAAACTTCAACAGGCTCTTGTAAATAAATTACGCAAATTTTGACAATCATCTCTTTGCAAAAATTATTGCCATGGTCAAAACTCAAGCGGAGGCGTTGCGTCTGTACCGAGCGATTTATCGGGTAGTCCGCCAGTCAAAGTTCTCGTATACAAAAAGGCTTTTTGAAATTGTGGTGGCTTATTGTCCGCTTTGTACGTTTTCAGGCAGCCGGAAAGATGCCAACTCGTGACCGGACAAGTTACGTACGCCGCCGTTTGCGCCATGAGTACGACAACATGCGCGAAGAGAAGAATCCGGAAAGAATTCGGTATCTATGCAATTTCTACTGTTGATATATAAATGTATATGCTGACGGCCGGTGTCGAGATCAGATTTTTCCTTCGCCTCGCGGAAACGCAGCTGGAGACAGTGCAAGTTCAAGCTGAGCATTTAACATCGACATTTTCAAGTCCAGACTATCATTGCTGATTGTATGACTTCCGGCTGTTCACAAGTAGGAATCTTATGCGTATTTAATTTCTCGCATCACCAGTCGATGAGCGGCAATACGGTTTAGCTGTCAAAACTGCGTGTGATAATGAAAACTCAATAGATTCTCGTCGTTTTTATGCATTACCATGTATTTTATTTATGAAAGTAGTCGATGAACAAGTGCCATACATGGCAACGAGCCAATTGTGTATGACGCGGCCTCAAAGAGTAACCCTGGCAGAGCGAACGAGGTCAAGCAGAGCTGCGAGTCACCACTTTGTCTTCTTTTCAACTCGCCCTAGAATTGTTGTTAACTCGCTCAGATGCTTATCAATTTTTCTCAAGATTCTATGACAATTGCGATTCTTGATGTGACACAAATTTTGCGGGGTTTTATTTTGCTACTGTTCTGCTATATACGTATTCGGAGCACTTCATTGTTTTGGTTTCAAAATACGTATAGCATGTGTGTTGAATAAACAATCGAAATCTTCCCGATTATGGTGGCAATATTTTGCCCTTCGGACATGGAGCGAAGATATAGTTGCACCATGGTTGAACATCAGGCTGTGCACCGAAAGTTTTGACTCTCAGGGTCCGCGTTGCTAAACGCACAGAGGCGAGGTTCGTGCGCTCTTATCAAGAGCAACCTAGTATCCAAGGAAACTAGCACTAAGCCTCTGTGCTAATTAGATTATTTACATATATATATTTAAAAATGACATACAAGAATTACGTCTTACTATCTCCTATTATAGATTTGAAATCATCCAAATATCATCATTTATACCGTTATTCTCGTACTACTGAATATTCACAGTTTTTTTGTAGTGTAGTGTAATATTTATACAATTTCACCTATTGTATTGAATAGAATTGTGCCAGTGTTGAGTACATAACTTGCCCCTTATACACACAGCTAATATGTGGATAATACCAGGATTGACACATGTTTTATCTTTTTAGGACACTTCGAAGAATTGAAGACTGTCGAAGCAGCCACTGCGCCTGAAATGTTATAATTTCCCTCCACTTTACCGTGTCTGCTATTCCGAGCGTACACGCATCAGTCATCCACTGCCGTGCACATTATCAAATCGCTTACGATCGCCCATTTAGAGCGAGGTCTTCGCGACTGACGTACCGAAAACGAAAAGAATTTTCGGTAAGTACCACAATGGAAGTGGCCCCCAGAATTTCCGTCTAAATTTGGAGCAGCAGTTGTAGAGAAACCCGTATCCGTCGTGAGAGAAAGACCTTGAGTATTAGAAGCTGGCAAACGTGCCGCAGAGTATCATATCGATATTGCACACTGGGTGGAGAAACCCGCTACCTCACGCGTCGCTAGGATTTACAAGCCCGATTCAACGAAGCGGACATCCGCTAAAGCGCAAAGTGCATAACACAAAGCACCCTGCTCGTTCCCATGAGACAGTTGTAACAACCCGATCACGGGCCCTAATCACCGCAAGGTCAGCTGCCGTTCATTTGTGGGAAGCGGCATGCGACGCTGCCTCTTTACTGAGGAAACGGCCGAGAATACGGGTCAAGAAAAGATACGGTACCAGGGGAGTCTTGTGAAAGTGGAACCTCAACTTTCGTTGAGTTCATATGTTGAGGGCAATTTTCTACTTCACCAGGAACACGAACCGTTAACAACCTGGGCCAATCCGCGCTATAGCGAGCGCTTCACGTGAAGAACCAATGTTTGGTTATCGAGCAGTGTCGGCGATGGTAAACATCCCGTGACACTTGTGAACTCTCTCAGTTGCGATGGAACGGCGTTTTTCTAAGAGCCACGGCTCGTGGTCGAATCAGAGATTAACCAGACCTTAGATACGCTCTCTGTTCTTCGCTTTTTCACCGTCTTATTTGAACCAGCATTCCACTTCATAATCAAACCACTGCTTTTGGAACAGAGGGTAGCTTAGCTACAGGAGGAGATAGATACATTGTGATATCTGCAACTGAGCTCTTCACGTCTGACTGGTATGTTCGAGCATATGGTTTGTATAAACTGAACACACATCGAAAAAGATCTGGTTGCATTCTTTGAAATATCTCGAGAATAAAAAGCCCTCTTTTGCTGCGATTGTGAGCTCTTCGTTGTAAATCTAATAAAAGAACACAGACATTGCGTTTTTGGTCGTTTATTTACATTCAATCTGCCCAACATCGTGTGCTTTACGTTCTACCTACCTCCACCATCGGTGTGTTGCTTTTGTAAAGCCTGGCTCTCACTCATAGCGTCGCACATTCTGCGCATGACGCTCAATACCATCGAGATTTTTATCACTGATTCTGCTTTCAAATGTAGCCGGGTTGATATCAAATCATTGATTTTGATCAGGATGCCTTCACCAAGATTGGTGGGAAATCAAAAGCATCCCTGGATTCACCAAACCATTCATATGATGGGGTGGAACCTGTACCATGTTCTTTAGACATTTTGAATGAGTTGGAACAGCTTGCGATTACATCACTGCTTCTCCGCATAAATGCTTCGGGTTGTCCTCCACAGCACGTTTCACGCGTTTCGTCTACTTTCTGACTGCGGATTAGCAGGTCCAATCTGGTTGTGACCTCCTCCATTGATGTTTGCAAATTCTCGCTGTAAAAAGTCTTTATCCTACATAATGCATTTTGGCCCCATACTCTGACAAAAAATAGCCTAGCTGTGTTCTCCCCGATTACTTTATTGCTGACAGCAGCGATTTGCGCCAACTTGCTGAGATGGCCAGTAAAAACTGGACACGACGCCAGTGTTTCCGAATGAGTCTTTTTGAAGACCAGATATAAAATCCATACTCATGAATTGCCGACAATATTTTGAACTGACAAGCTGAACGAAAATACCACCACATGACCCTTAAAACGTTTCATGCGTGCGCATATATACAAGTTGTTCACCGATTCATAGCGGACACTAAGTAGTATATCTTTCCCCTACGAGCTGGCCGCCCAAAAGGATATCATGTGCCTCGTACAGTATTATGTTGATGAGTTTATCAACATGAGGCACCACTTCACACTGAGCGTCTGTCATGAGGGTCAATTCTGTCATAAAGTGGGCCTTGGGATGAATAAGTTCTGACAATACAGGCGACCAACCGCGCGCTTCAATATAGCAACATCCGATTTATTCAAACTCCATGCTATCTTAGGCTTTCAATAGTGCAATAAATGTTGCATTGAATCATGCTCTGTACGTACCGCCTTGTCGTTGGGTACGTCACTGTTGTGACATTCGACATTGCATAGTTGGTGAGACGCAAAAGCACATATTTCGAAAATATTAGCGGAAAAGAAGACATTCCCATCTGTCGCACATTGCGAAAGCTTGATGACGATGTCGCTGGGCGCAGCGACGCGTACTCTTTATAAAATAAGAACGGTTTTAAGTCAAGCAGATTTAGTCTGAATGTGATAAAGGCATACTTCATTATTTGTAAAGTCTAGCCATAAGAAAACAATACTTCTCTACTGTTCACCGGCAACAAGACTTAAACAAGATAACTAATTCATGCACATTGGCAACTGCTTGGAATATTCTGTTGCAAAGACTGAAGTAGCACAGACGACGTGAAACGACTATCTTGATCCCAACAAGCTAGAATCCGGGCACACATTGGAAATTTATTAACATTCTTTTAGGCCGAGCTCGATACCGTTCAACATCCATTTTATCACGATTGCTGCTGAGCGTGCCATGTGCACATAGTTTGCAATGTACTTGTGAAAGTATTTGGCCATGCCAAGCTACTTTTTTGAATCAATTTGGGCTGGACGCCTGGCAACCAGCAATAGCTATTTCTTCGCGGGGTCTGCCCGCCCGCACTTTTTTCCAATGAAGCAATACAGAAATATGTCCCAAATTCGCACTTGTCTATATCAGAGAACCGAAAAGCTAAGCGCAGACAGTCGAGCACCACTCGCATGTGTTCAACGTATACGTCTACATCTGATGTTCAAGCTCTGCACGTTTAGACGAATGTATCATAAAATGGGTTTCTGCACAGCCCCCACGTGGACTCGGAAGCCAAGGCACCCGACGGTCGAATATTTGCTGGTGGATTAGACAGTTTGCATTGCATTTTCAACCACTCCTAGAGCATCCCTCTTGCAGCAAGAAGAATATCGCTGTCTCACATCAGCAGTTGATGAGTGTAATGATCAACTATGTCGAGGGCACTGAGCAAAGTGCAGCCAACCTTGCGTTTTTGCAGCACATCCTATCGATGATCCAGCGTTTATTTCGAAGTTTTGGATGGAATTAGCACATTGTTAGCATGATGAATTCGCCACATTGTTCGGACACAGAAAGTAAGGCGCAAAGTGGGGAGATCCACATTCTTTAATAGAACCCGTTGCTTACTTTTCGCGAAATAAATCTCGAATGGAACAACGCGGTTAGGACCATCACTATGTGGTGTAATATTTTGTTTCAGAGACCAAATTAACCTCATCGTGCACACCTCGATGCAGAGGCTACTTGGATGGTCAATCTTTTGTCGTCATTTCGTGATATTGTTGAGCCAAGCGAAAGATTTTTTTGGATCCTAACGGATACTTTTTGCGCCCCACACACTCGGTGTTCTGTGCGGATCCCCACGCCACAGTCATGATGACGGATGACCAGCTCAGCATCTATAACAACCCAACAGTACCATTCATGCATCTTGCGTCTCCTGCATATGTATCAAATTATGATTCTTAAAGTCATACAAAAGCTTTTGCCAGCGATCTTTTCAACTATTCGGTCTACCCAGGTGTTTTCTCACATGTGAATAATTTCTCTCGCCCTTTATCGCCCTCTCTCGATCGAGCTTTACTATTCCGCAGGGAAAACCGGTCACACGGTATTACTGACTCACTTACGGTCTGATTATGACAATTATTAGTCATTCTTCTGAACTTTATGGCCTAGCCCTTTTCATCGTGACTTTTAGTTTCTCTTCAGCTCCCATAACTTAAACACAGGAGAATAAGAGACTCAGTAATTTCTACGCTTTTCGGTCCTCGCACAGAAGGCAACAGCCCAAAGCAATCCTGCTCTCACATGATACTCAGATGCGAAGCGATGCGTTTAAAACAATTTACATCTCAGCCATCCCCTCTGACTGAGTTTTCTTTATCTCAAGATCGGTGATCCCGTATCCAAACGCTCAAGGTACTTAGGGTCAATCATGCGATTGCCAAACTCAGAAATCCACAGCTGGAAAATTGTCTCGCGTCTTTATCGATCAGACGTCGAGACCCGCGCCACCACAACAAAGAGATCTCGCGAGAGTAGCCATGATAGAGTCGTATTATTGTGGATCTACTAGGTGAGAAAGATGTGCTCATCTAGAAATAAAACGGATAGTGAAATTCACCGCTGGTCTAATGAAGTGGAATTAAAATTCTAGCTCCAAATTGAGTTCCCACTTTTCCTGGCCCCATTGTCGTTTGCAATTTGGTGCACCATAGGACTTTGTCTTCACAGAAAAAAGAGTGTTGTTCAGCGCGCTTAACATTAGCGATTGGGTCTGGCCAAGTTGCAATGTGAAAATGACTTTTAGTTGAACCAGTAGTTATGAGTGTGGGTAGAGCTGCTATTTGCACGAACTTAAAGTGAAGTCTCGTTCCCGACTAGGCGATAATGCTGTGCTTGTAATTTGCAAAGGCAAGTATAAGCGAAGTTTCTCATCTGATGTCTGTTCTAAGTAAATTTGCTTGTGTACAAACATATGTACCGATGCAACCATATTGATGGTTGCAAGTTACTAGATCAACATAGCTGCAACGGCTACTCAGGCAATTTGATATTACTGGTATATTGATAGGAAAATTGATTCACCTACAAAGCCTCGCATTGGGGTGAATTCTTTTTGCCCCTTCAAAGAACAGGCACGGCGCGCGGATCTGACACAAACTTGAATGTGAAGTGTACAATACTGTATTTGTAAGAGCACGACGGTGTAAGATGAACAGACACCATCAGAAATAATGTACCCTATTACGACGGATCTCGCTCTGAAGTCGACCACGTGGGGTTCACACTTCGTTTGTTGCTCAGGACAATGCACAAATGTGAGCTCTCCGCGCGCCACTACTTCAGGCAAAGTTTCACTTAAATCCTTGCATCCAACAATACCTACCGCAGAAATCGCATTTGTGTTGGGGGATCTCTCCTTAACACTAGCTCACAACGATTTGCAAATTTCTAAACCTGGCGCTTTCCTGTGACCGGCGCCTATATAGCTAGATTTGGTGAGTATTTCTTGTCTAGAGCGGGGACAGCGATCATTTCAAAATTGACCTTACACCTCCGCCCTCACCTCGCGACATGGTCGAGCCGGTGACCGAGTATAAGAAGCTTACCTCAGACCGCCTCAACTTAAACTCTGTGTGTGGTACCTACGGCGAGTAGCCTCCACGAGAAACATGATGATGCCCAGCTCGCTACTGATTATATGGACACGCTCGGGGGCCCCAGATTGCCTGTCCGCAGACACAAAAGCAATCCTAGCTTTAGCACATGTCATCTCATCGCAAAATATGGTTTCACTCTGCGCTGGGGTAAATTATATGCATATCTAAACGTATGGAACTTCATCTCAAACCGCCAACAAAACAAGCACAAAAAGCTGCTCTGAAAAGCTTCTGAATCCACAGGTCGTGACTCCCACTAAGTACCGCTGACACTTAGATCAGCTACGATTAAAACATTCTCGTTCCCCATGAGAGCCCTTCCTTGTGTACTAAAAGATGGCGCGAGTACTGAAAGTATCCCACTTAAATTTCAAACTGGGTGTTGAATCATGGTCTGACAGCAATGCAAGGCAGCTTCAGTGAAGCGAACATTCGTATGGGCATCAACTTATAGGTGCCCTTTCAAATTATATAGCAGAAGGAGGTGAGCGCGCACCACCTGCAAGTTTTCTGTTTACAAGCCCGTGACGTTCATGAGGTAGCGATGATATCTACCATCCAAGTGTTAATATATAAGCTGGGCTAGAGAGCGCAAGAGTTTCTCTTGTAACTAGTTACCCAATTTGCTTCTCTTTTTCAGGAGTGGCATATGTTTAGAGTTGAAAATAGTACATTTAATAATCAATCACACTAACGTGAGGCAACCAGCCCACGTCACTTTGATCTACGGGACCTGATCTCGTATAATTGATCAATATGATTTGTGCACGACTGAACGGAAGTGGTAGGTGTGCGTACACCATTGTGCAGTACATATCCCGTTACATGCACCCACCACTCCTCCAGTCGCTGGATTACTTTACAGTCTTATTTTTATTGTTAACCTCACACAATATGTGGTTGTACCGAAAAGATTAAATGCGTGGTCAAGAACACATTGCGCTATCTGCCTTGGACGGCGAAGCCGTATTGATATCTGCATGACGCAGACGTCGACCCTGTCCTAGGGCGCGTCTACCGTAGGTGATAGCACACAGCTATACACTCTTGTCAACGATATGACTGAGAGGAAGACGGCGACGTAACCCTCGTGGCTATTCACTCTCCGCTTTTAACCCCCAATTGTTTTCCTATAAATACGACGTTTTTGGCGTAAACGACTGGTCTGGCTTCTAAACCTTAGGGTGTTATACGAATCACAATGGTTTTTACACTGAAAAAACTCAAATGACTTACTCGAAATTTACTGAAAACAAAAATTCAGGAGTATAACGTCATGCATATGTTACATCGGCTAGGGCATGTGACAAACAAGATCAAAATCCAAATTCCAAGCAGACTAGGCATCAACCCGGCTAGGTCTCCACTAGACATTCAGTGTGTTCAATTTCTTCGAAAAGAGTTCTCGATTGAATGTCGGGTCACACCGGTCGGTTGCTTCGGAGGAAATTTTCGATGAAACAAAATGTTGTATGAACACTCCTTGAGAATATGGTTTATAAATCCAAACAGAATTGGAGATCATCGATACGCAAGAAATAAATCGAAAGAATTGCTTATAGACCGAGCAAATTCCCTGGGTGGTAACCGTTCGCTGAAGCGGACAAGGCTGCAATGCCAGTGACTCAACAAAAAGCCCTCAAGAGTAGTGAGAACTGCTACCAGTGGAAGCCAAACTTGTGCACTAAATCGTATCTGCCACATGAAATTCAGTGAACACCAAGTATTGATACGCAATTGCGGCAACGTTTGATTTGTGTTTGTCTGCAGCATAGAGTAGCAAATTCAAGAGTAGACGATAATTTGTTTGTTTGTTGCATCATATTGTACTTCGCAATGTATTTTTGTCCAGTGAGAATCGTTGAGAAAATTTTTACTTTCAACCTGCGGCACAAAAAAATGTGGATAATTTAGACATTGACCATTGTCATATCACACATTTGGAAAGTTGAAAAATGTGAGAAGTCAATAGAAGATAACGGATTTACTGCAATATCATCAATGAAGCTCAAAGTGTGGTATCAAACTCGGTTGAAGTCAATTGCTGTCGACAGGAGTCCCAGCCATTTTTCTATACATCTTTAAGCTATGATTTCACCTGTCGACGCATATTTTTAAACACTCCAAACTCTCATCCTGAATTACTTTTTTCAAGTTATTTGAGCTCTTAAGGTGTTCACGTTCTCAGCGCCATCATAGACGGCTAGCAAGAATGTATCATCACTGAAAGTAGTGTCAAAGAGGTAAAAAAGTATTTATCTTGACTTTACAACGACCATATAGACCCTGCGCTGTAAACGTATGCTAACGTCTTCTAACAAAGTCGCAGAAAAAAACTTGAAAGTGAATAGTGGTTCGTTTTGTTACCGCTATTTAGCTGTAAAGTACATATAGAGAGACCTTTGACTCTACACATACTTTAGGAACATGTAGTTACAAAAAGTAGTTCGTTAACCTCGATCTCTCTGTTTTCGACGACACTCAACATTCACAGATCATACACATCTCGATTTCAGGTGGGTCCGCTTACTTGCGCAGCTTGCGAGAGGGTTTAGCGGCACAACCACCAGCGGGTGATGGAGGGGTAGACGGAGACGGGCTACCAGTAGTCTCAGGAGTATCTCCGGTCGAGGGCGGCATTTGAGTAGCGTCACCGCCATCGCCACTAGGTGTTTCCGCGCTGTCACCTTTCCCAGCTGCTCCGTCAGTGGCGCACACTGTAGCCTTCGTAGGTTTATCTGTGAAAGCCTCCACTTCGAAGTCAGGTGTACCGCCTTCCTTAAACGAGCAGCACGGATCGCCGAAAGCTGCACCGTACGTCATCGAGGCACCTTCAAATTCAGTTTTGCACAGCTTTTCGGTCCACTTGTAACCCTCTTGTTTGAAAAGGTCAGCAAGTTTGGTTTTTTTCGATGAATCCCCACCGGGGTGGCCAATGGCCATCTTAAACTTTGAACCGTTTGGAAGTTTTGTAAGGTATGTTTCCATCGCTGTGGACAAGTCGATCGTGGCAGCCACGATGAAGGTAGAAGCTGCGATGGCATTGAAAGTCTTCATACTAAAAAGAATATGTTGATCTGTATCGAGTTTGATTGAGTCTGTTGAGCTGTGTGAAACAAATTGCAGAATGACAGTTGAAAGCTGGTATGAAACCTTGCCGCGCATTGAGCTTCATAAACAAGTCATCGTGTCTATCGATACTTCGTCAGATGGAATTTAGGAACTTAAGAGTCGACCACAATTTTGGTACTACTATATCCACATGGATTATACATTCTTGCGTGCACTCTCCCGTGGTGACAACATGCGCTTGAATTTTCTGGAAACCCTGTACAATAAGATTTTTTTGTAGTCAATTGTTGTTTCGAGCTGCTAGATTTTACGCTAATCTGCACCATTTATATATGAGGTCCTTATTAGTGCTGAGTGTACATGAGAATTGTATGAGCTCGGGATGGCTCTATACTTTCTCGGCGCAAATTATAGCGACAAGTTTGATCATTGCCCTCTTCTTTGTCAGACGAGTTACTCTCGACAGCTTTCTGTCTACAGTTTTCGACGTGTAGCTGAATAGTTTATAACAACGAGGATCTCGAGCGCCAACGCAGGCGAGGAAGGACTCGTGATCGGCTTCATTTTTATCCACGATTGCAAGACTAAGGGTTTAAGGCCACGACACATCGTCGCTTGGATAGGCCACTGAACTCTTACGACATGTGAAAGTACCGAATTAGGGTAAAGTATCTGTATACGTCCAGGCTCCATTTGTTTTTTGGATGGGCATTACTAGCTTTCACCCCAACATCGCGCAACGCTTTTACGTACTACCGAATTGATTTAGAAAATGTAGTAAAGGTGCGACAAGATTGAAGCGAATGCCTGTACATCTGTATGGGCGGAAGATAAAACGATAGTGTTTGTTGTGTAGTCGTAAATGATTTAGAGTGACTTCTATAATTTTGACATTTTGACATTTTGACAGCTGATAAGATGATTTGAAGTGTCTATAGCTCGATATCGTTAAGCAAGCGTAAAGGAATCTTAAACATGCGGAAATTGCGACCAGTCGCATGCTAGCTAGGATGACTTGAACCGGGAGCAGATGCTCTGGCTTTATGTTTATAATTTATTCAACTTTTTTCTTAAGATGTCGTAAACATTCCGGTATCGCCTATTCGCCCATGATGAAAAGTAGCATGCATTGTAAGTAGAAATCGAATTACTCACAGAAATTACTTGAGCGGTACATACACGCACTGGAAGTGTTGTTCCGTATGAGACATTCTTTGCGTGTATAGCTGAAGATGATCGTTGCGACGCTCATCTACTCGACGATTTTTAGTAGAAACGTCATTGTTAAAAAATTAATTCGCTTTTGTCGATTCTACGAAAATCGAACCCAACTCAGGTGTGCGTGGATAAATCAGGCAAGACATAAGGTCAGTAGTTAAAAGAGGTTAGTGGCTGTGTAACGTCAGCTCTATACTTGATGTAAGGACCAGTTCCACTGGTAATATAATCGCGAGTCTGTTAATCTTCGAGAGCCGTAAATTGCCGCTACAGCTAATAATCTTGTATTAAATTTCAAAGATATAAACCTGTTTGTTGCAAGTTGTTATAAATTTATGGGCTCATAAAAACCTAATTTGAGATAGCACGCGTATCAGCGAATGATTAAAACAGAGCCGCACTACTTCGAGACGCAATTTTTAGGTATAGAAAACCATACAGGAACTACTTTTCGGCAGCCGACCTCATGATGAGCCGAAATAAAATTACAATGAGTGAATGTGGCAAAAATTGGACCATATCTCATGAAGAAGAAAAGATACGATAAACTCAAAATCACATGTCCCGTAGGAGAAGGCATAAAGTGCGACGGGGTTACCATGACACCTAACGTAGAAGAAGGTTTCGACTCGATGAGTTCGCGCCGAGAAATACACAGGGTTTATAGGTGGTCTCTTAGGCGTAACTAAACTCTATGTCCGAAAATACACAATGTTTCCAGGTGGTCTCTTGAGCGTAGCTAACACTCTATGGGATTCAGATCAAATCAACAGGTGACTGTTATCAGTATTGCGCGACTATGAAAATTCTTTTTCTTCGGGTACCCTGACTCTGATAAGATACCTGGTACAAATCTTTACGCAACCTTAATCGCAGCAATCAATCACGATGTTCCACCTAATACCTCTGGGTCTTACTCTAGAGCTCAAAAAAATTACGTACCCATCTTGCCCCACAGCTTACATCAGTGTGGGATCTATGGGCGCGTACTACGCTACAAATTACCTCAAATGAAGCGGGATTACATATATACTGGTATGAAAGGTGAGACCATTTAAAGGTGTAGATTACACACTACGTTACGGGACTACCTGTAGTTATGCAGATTAATTAAATTTTAATGTTTAATTAGGGAAACCTATAGATTAAGATATAGGCGACTTTGCCGCATATAAAAAAGATAAATACAATTTGGATTTTGAGCGTGAGACTATATTTGCCTTTAAGTTTAGGTTGTGGGTACTCTTGGAGGTAGCGGAGTGCGATCTGCTACACTCATACTGGTTCTAGTATAAAAGGTAAGGTCGGTGACCATAGCCTAGCTTCCTCTAAGCAAAGAGCTACAGCAGCCCCGCTGCACTCGATAGCAATTGTAGTCAATCTACACCTGAGCCGTTACGACAGATCCTCTGTGAGGATAGAGCAATTCTCCAATTTGTCCTATAGCATGTAGGACGGGCTTCAAAGCTGATGTCTCTGCTTGGCCCTGACGGCGTGCGACACCTCGCTTCAAAGGACCTGAAGCGATCAGTGCGCACCTAGAGGCGTCTTCGAACTATGAAATGCTCTGCTATAGCACCTAGAGCAGAAGATGTCGATGTCGGCTGCGTCCATGACGCCATCGTCGACGACGGATGACTCCTGCCGACCAGGCCACTCTTGATGAGCATTAAGACCTTTGAGGGTAAGTAGGAGAAAATCTTCTGCTCTGGATGAGCGAGGCCAATTTGGATATGGCCTCCGCCATGCTCCAGAGAGCGTGGCGCCTGCTATCTTCAAGCTCGGTGGTCGAACGCGAAAAATGGGATCTTTCGTGCGGCACTTTGGTTGAAGCGGAGTTTGCCTCCTGGACGAAGCCGAAGCTGCCATTTTTACGAGTGTTCTTGCTGCCTAACCAGGCATATCGCTTGTGATCGCGTTTCCTTGCTGTCAGACAGAGCAAGAAGGAATTGGTGGACTTGTCCAAGCGTTGCGCACTCTCAATGCCGGAATGACAGCCAATCCTCTCCCCGAGGCGGTCAAAGTGACAGCCTCCGCACTGACGTGGCCAGAATGGAAGTCTTCCGTGGTTTTTTGAAAAACGGTAATTGTGACATTAAATGCCGAATTCAGCTTTATTCGGCACGACTAGGCTGGAATGTACACCCTCATAGCGCGTTGAGTGGACCTGAGCCAATGGATCTTAGATATGAGGAAAAAGGGGGGGGTCCGAGCTGCCGGGCAGCGGTTGAGCTCCCGACGGTGTTTTGTCTGTGGAGATACCTATCACGTTCAGACTGGATGTCTCCTGCACAAGGCGCTTAAAGGTTCATCGAACCGACGTCCCGCTTCTCATCAGTCTAGTCTGTCGCGGGGAAACGACAACACCGAGCGGGCGTGAGGCGCTCTACTGGGGAAGAACTAAGGTTTTTTTACTATCAAAGAGGTAGAGGGCAGCAGGGACCAGCTTCGATGAGATACGTGCTCTTGAACACGGAGCGTGTATGCAAGCAGGCTCTCTGGCCGTGAAAGCGGCTTTAGGAAGCAATGGAAGATCCTTTTCGACTCCAGGGCGTCGGGCAACTATGCTCGACGCTCCACGATAGCGGTTAAGTGTCATCGTCGCTATTCGCTTAGCGACGGTGACTTGTGTCACTATGCCGATGGTCCCTGTGGGACTCGGTGTCAAGATTCTTGACTTGTAGAGCGTGGAACGCTGCTTAGTCTTAGATTTGGATTCAAGGTATGACATATCCTTGGTATGGCATGGTTGGATCACCATGTGGCATGGATTGATTGGAGGTCGAAGACCTTGGGCTCTACGCGCACGTCTTCTCGTGGAGCTTTGGTGAGTCATGAGTCCTTCTCTGCTTGGAGGCAGAAACGCTATCGAAGCGGACACTGGATGTCGGAGTATTCGAGTTGTCAAACACCGAAGATGTATTGAACAACAGTCCCGAGCATGACTCGTGGGCTTAACGTGGATTGGCACGTAACCCAAAGAGCACTTCTCAGGTAACAAAGCAGTTGCTGCATGCCAAGAGTGGCATGGTCGGCAAAGGGCCGAGGCATCGAGGGCGAGGCCCCAGTGATGCGCGTGGAGTGGCACATAATCCTCTAAGCTGCTCACGTTACGAAGCAGTTGCTGCATGCCAAGAGTGATATGGTCAGACGAGGTCCTAGGCATTCTGGGCAAGGCCTTTCTGAGACGTGTGGGGTGGCACGTTATCCACTGGATGAAGACTGCGGAAACAGCAGCTCTTCGTCAGATGTTGTTAAAACATCAAGGCTCCGATGGAGCAGGGTGTGGGGACACTAGACGACGCTGAGTTCGTGTTCCCACTGGTCAGTACGAGACGGAAAACCTCTACAGAATGAGAACGGCGATGCCGTATAGACGCAGGGCATCGTCCCTGACCCACGGTGTGTCTACCGTAGATGATAGCGCACAGCTATACACACTTGTCAACGATATGACAGGAGAGGAAGACGGCGACATCACTCTCGAGGTTATCTCACGGTAATCCTCTTTTTGAGCTGAACGAGATGTCCTTCGAAGAGTTTGGCGGTGCCTTGAAGGCAGGCGATTTAGCCACGGTGGTCATTATAAAGACAGAACGAGGGGACTAACTCGTCGTCGCTTCTGGATGAAGCTGTCCTGAAGGAAATTAAGAGGGTGTTGAACGCACAAAGTGAATTGTCGATCCTGAAGGATCCCTCGGATCCGTACTATTCTTTAGTAGAGGAAATCCAAGGCATCGTCTTCAAAGAACCGCCGTTGGTCCTATCTCCGGACCGAGGTGCGCGTTACGAGATTGACCTGGTTCCGGGAACCAAATACTGCGTAACACGCCGATGATCTCTGCCCAAGGAGCAGTGTGACGTCATTGACGCTTTTTTCCGTGCAAAGCACGACGCAGGAATGGTGCCTGAGAGTAGGTCTCCTCATTCGACAAACACGTTTGTGCCCGGAAGCCGAACGGTAGTGCGTATCATTCACGTGTACAATAAGCCAAACGCTGCCACTAGTCTGGCACAGACACCGATACCTAATAAAAATGCTCTCCAGAACAATATGGTTGGCTGTACACAATACAGCGCATTCGACTTGGTCGATGGTTATTATGGATTGCTCATGAGAGCGAGTGCTTTTCCGCTGACAGAGGTGAGTACTTCGAGCGGGATGCTCTGGGAGTGGCTGATGATACCCCAAGGGCTGTCAAATGTGCCATCAGCATTTAAATGTCTTGTGACGCACTTGTTTAGACCCCACAGAGCGTATGCACAGACATACTTCGACGACATCTTCGTCCACATTCGTGCGGAGCACGGAAAGACAGATGGGGAAAACCACATCGTCTTTTTCTCGAGTGCACAAACTGTATGCTAATACAGATAAGTTCATCTTCGGCGCGGAAGAAATCCTCTTTAGGGCGCCTCAGCGGGGGGCGCGGGCTTCAAGCGTATCCTGCTAAGGTCGAGACCATCGTGGGCTGGTGGCACATGTGGCTTGGTCTCGCCAACTACTTGCACATGTATAGCGCAAATGATGCGGAAATGGCAAGACCATTGCCAAATCTACTAAGAAGGGTATGGAATGGTGTTGGGGCACCGAGAATCGGGAAGCTTTGATATGGTGAAAGACAGCCTTCTTCATGCACCAATGCTGGCGTTGCCAGACCCCGGTCGTCCTTTTACTGTCGTCTGTGACGCTTCGGACTTCGCCATCGGCTGTGCACTGCTGCAAGCTGACGCCGAGGGGCGAGATCGGGTTATCGCGTTCGAATTTTGCCTGTTTAAGGCTGCGGAGAGTAACTACCCAGTCCACGACAACGAAATACTTGCAATGAATTATGCACTTGTCAGATTCAGAGTGCGCCTGCTTGGCTCAAAGCTGTTTGTAATCCACACAGATCATGCGTCAGTGCGCACTGCCAATCAGTCACCTTGCCTTTTGCAGAGGATGGTCAGGTGGCTCTCATTCCTTGCAGAATGTAAATTTGAGCTGAAGTATAAACCAGTAAAGCAGAATGCTTTGGCTGATGCGTCGTCACGCAAACCAGATTACGAGTTTGCTCATGTCACGACGGTGACGTCACCAGTGACGGATTTGATTCGCACCACACACACGGGTGATGATATGCGTACCGCTGCTACGGGCTCTTGGAAGCAAGGAGTTCTAAACTCCGACAAGAATTTTCCGGCGCGATTGCGTGCACAGTTGCACGAATATTCATTGAATGATGGGTTGCTGTATTATAGCACCGATAAAACGGATTCGCCACTAATTCTGGTTCCTCACGATGAGGATTTGAAGTACCGTATCCTCTATGAGGCCCACGACACCCCACTAAGTGGTCATCTCAGTCGTGAGAAGACGTACAGCTCTGTGAGTTGCCACAACTGGTGGCCCAAGCTGTATAAACGGACGGGCACATAGGTATGCACGTGTGAGACGTGTCAAAGCGTAAAACCCCTCTCCAAATGCGGCGACGCCGCTGTTCAGTCTACCCGTTTTCTCCTGGTATTGGCAGTCCATGAGGATGGCCTTTGTGCCTTTGAACAAGATGGTTTATCTTGCGGTGGTGCCGGACACCATCGACGGTGGGGGTACAGCGATGCTGTTTGTGGATTGTGTCTTTTATAACATGGCCTCCCGGAGTCAATTGTCTCTGACAAAGACCCACGCTTCGCTGAGAAGTTTTGGTCGATGATCATCAGGGTGCTGGGCACTAAGTTGGATATGTCAACAGCGGACCATCCGCAGACCGATGGTAAAACTGAGCGCGTGAATTGCATCGTTGAAGACGTCCTTCGCAGCGTCTGCGCTGATGCGCCGAGGCGCTAGAGCGCCATGCTGCCACCTGTCAGGTTTGCTCTGAACAATGTTGTGCATGCGTCTACTGGCTACATATCGTTCTACTTGAACGGACTTATTAATCCTCGCGTCCCGCAGACGCCGCCAGCCCATGGCTCGGGCTTGGGGGAAATAGCCGAGCGGCTAGCTAATTGCCACCCTCCTCTCTGTGCGTAAAGAAATCCTTAACTTCCTGTCTACCAGACTGAGTGTCTTACGACACGTTTGCGACGTGCAGAGAAAATATGCAGACGGAAGAAGCAGAAGAAATATTGAAAACATTACGGTTGAAAACCTGGTTTTATCTAATACTAAATATCTTCCTACACATACAATTTCTGCTGTCTTTGATAAGAGGCTTCGTCCACACTTTATTAAACCTTTGAAGGTCGTGGCTAAGCGGGGCCTTGCGTACACGCTAACTTTTCGAGAAGGATGCACACCCACACGGTGTTTTGCTTAAGCCGTACTGGGATTCGGTGCAGGTGAACGCGGGAGCGTTGGTGCCGGGGCGGTGCCCAGAGGCGCCGGACTACCCAGAAGCTGAAACAGCAACAAGTTCTGAGCACAGCATGCAACCATTTCGGTTTCTAACGGCGCCAGATGTTCCAGCAGCGCACGAATTGACGCATTCGTCTGTTTGACGGCTAGAAGCCGCTCCGACTGATAGCGATAGTCCTCAATGTGAGGCGATCGGTGCACAAAGTGCCCCAATCTTTTTAGAATTTCCGGACAGCGGCCTGCGACCTCGGTTGAATGCTCAGCGGGGCGTTGATGGCGACGAAATTTGTCCTCAAGAGCTCGAAGATCATCGCGAGTCACCGGACGCCGATCGACTAAGTAGTCATCGCCCACCGCCGACTCTTTATACCGAGAATGGTGGCGTCCACTATCACGTGGAGCGCCACATCGACGACACGGTAAACCCAGTATCTTATGAAGTAGCGGGGATACCAAGACTTCGAGAACTTGTGGGGGTTTGAATTTTCCCTTCGGCAAGACTGCCCAGACGTCGTGGACAATTATGAATAGAGGGATCATGACAATCTGCAAAGTCGTACGCCCCGCGTTTCTCGATAGTAGCCTGGGAAGGCGGAGGTCTACGAGCTGAGCTCAAGCCGTGGAGCTCTGAGCTGCTGTGGTCGTTGATTCCCGCGTGTGAGAAACCATAGAGTACAAGGGAGCGTGATGGATTATCCCATATGCTGCAGGACGACAATTAGAAGGAAGTCGGCGTTGCGCCTTGAGTTTGGCAGACTCGAACCGAGGATGACGTTTTACGCGCAGGTCCACTTCCTCGTGGCTCCGCTGAAAGCTAGAAAGCGAGGAAAGTTTCCGGTGCCGTTGCGCTAATTGCTTAAGAGCTCTTCATCATTTTCAGCGGTTTTGCCGGGGGCGAGCACCACAGAAATAGTCCGCATTGCGGGTACAAGAGTACCTCATTGAGCTCGAAGTCGAGCGCGGTACCTAATCATTGCAATTTATTGAGGCTTCAGAAAGCGACCTAGGGGAGCATTTTATTGGTCAAGCTTAGCTTTGTAGTGTCCGGAGGCCCGATTACGTAGACGCGTAACGATCGGGTGATATCGCGTTTTTCGCTTAAGTGCCGGGATTCTCTGAGCGGAAGCCATATTCCACACGAGGGTTTAAAACCGGCCGTGAACGTCCGCGCATAATAGCTGCCCTGGGAGCGGCCTCCAGCTGCTGCTTTTGTGCCTCATCAAGGCGATTGTTAATAATACCACTTTCCCCGGAAGTCGAGAGGTCGGGAGACGGACACGGTATTCGCAAGGTCTAGCAGGGCTCACATTGCGCCGTTGGCGCACCTCCCCCTCCTCTTCTTTCCATCCTGGGAAAGGAGTATCCGACCCATTATCGATATCCTCCAAATCTTCGACGAGGAAATTCGTCGCCCGTGGCGGGCGCAGTGTGCGGCGTCAAGCTGCCGAGAGCAAGGGTTGCGATTTTCTTAAACCCGCGGACGTGCTGTCTGGAGTCGCACCGCGTGCTGGATACGAAGAAGGGCTCAGCCCGCGGGCGCTCTCGGAACTAGCAAGGCTGGGTGTTTTTCGTGTCATAGACACAGGGCTCATTGAGCAGAGAATACGTGAAGAACGTCCTAGAGACGTAACGCTGTCTTAGACATGCGAGCCTCGTACGAGGCGACAGCTAAATGTGAATTGTGGGTTTTCACAATTTTGATGGGGAAGAGTGTAACGGGGTTACACGTACCCTGGTATGAAAGGGTGGGTTGCTTAAGATGGTGAGACTACACAAAGGTGTGAATAATACAAGTCGGTGTAATCATACAATGGTGTGGCTACACCGTAAGTCGTGGCGGAACTGCTAGTAGTTCTGCACATTAATTAGGTTTTACTATCTAATTTGGGAAACCGCATATAAAACGGATAAATTTTTAAGGGAGGAGTATATTTGCCTTTGGTTAAGGTTGTGTGTATTTGGAGGTAGTGGATTGCGATCCGCTTCACTCATACTGGTTCTAGTATAGAAAGTAAGGTCAGTGACCTTAGCTTAGCTTCATCTAAGCAAAGAGCTACGGCAGCCCTGCTGCACCTTACGGTTTGCTCAAGCCCAAAAATGCAAGAACGGACGCTATATAAGAAAAAAGGTCTTGCCCAGTAGCTTCAGATCAACTTTGATGTCTGAAAGCACACGCGTCGCAGCGACCTTACTGGGGTACTTAGAGATGATGGAACGTCATTACTATGGCTTTATTCGACCCAATTCGACGGGAACCGGTCGAGTCGCCGCGGTGAACCCCATTTGAGCCTGCAGCTTAGTTTGAGAGCAAGACGCGTATGCGAGACTCGCAACTCCCGAAGTGCAACATACAGCTAATTTTGTTGTTTGGCACCCCCATATATGACCGTACCCGATGAACCGAGGCCTGATGATAGTGTCTTCGACTATATGGCTCAAGATGCGCATTGGATTCAAAAAGGCCGTTTTTTTAGCCTGGACAGGCAAGCTCAAGTTAATAATGGATATCGCTTACTGCTTGGCCATAAAACACCAACGTCGAGGCGGCTACTTGCTCTCGCTTTCGGTTCATGCTAAACCAGTCACGCTCATACCCATTATTCTGCGGGCTCAAGAATTAAACAAGTTGAGATCCCGCTTTCACGTCGAAAGCACGTATGTGGTGCATAGCTTTATTTGCATAACTGCAACTACTGAAGGCATTAGTGCTAGCGCTTCCAAACCTGCTAACCATATATCAACGCCGGCAATAACTGTCAACGACAACAGGGCAGTAAAAATTGAAACTTTTTGAAGCTTTCAAATTGAGTGCATATGAAATACTGGCTATATCCTGGAAGTAGGTTTGAGACGCATGTCGTTAACAACTCCTACTGTGAGCTCGAAATATAAGTGAGTACTTTGAGCTGAGTGCTCACATATTGTTACAAAAGCGATAAGGCTCAACCGTCTGGTAACACCTATTTCATTCGTAACACGCGTTTGAAAACACCTAATTATCATTCATAGTGGTGCAGAGAACGGAGGGTAGAATGTGGACATCCATGTCGAATACTTGCGAGCAGTATTCCATTGTGTACGCTTCATAATCCATTAGCCAGCACGTGTTCGGCTCTGACAAGTTTGATTTCTAAAATACTCCATGTTATATCGTCATAATTAACAAATGTAGCGCCGATTAAGCTCGTAGTAGATTATTAGCGCAAAAAATATACTGTAGTGGTTTGACATAGCCGACTGAAGTTAACGTTTCAGTGATAACTCACAAATTTTACTAATTAATCATTTCCTCTTTGCCGCTTTAAGCTGGCGAGATATACCTGCAATAACACTTTCAATCCCATCCAAATTTGATCAAAAGCAAAAGCAATGTCAAAGGCCCGAACAGCACATCGAATTGAATTGCTGCTCCATATGTGAAAAAATCCAGATTAAGACATATTTATGTTTATTCTTTTTATTTCTGCCGCTTTCCCATACATAGCTTGGCACGAGAACATTCTGCTTATGGTGCATGACCTTGTCAAGTTTAAGGTAAACTAAAAAAAGTGTGATTTATACAGATCATGCGTCATTACGACCCGCGACATTGTCGCCACATCTCTTGTAACTATATTCAATCGCCGAATATACATTTGCAATCCAAACAATCTTGGTCGGCTCAGTGTGGCGACTGCTGTTCTTTTGGGTCGCCCTTCACGATTGCGACGTCGCGCATCGACGATGCTATGCGCACAACATACTAAAACATGTGTATCACTGCAGAAAGCTTTGGAGATCGCATTGTATGGAAATCCGGATGCAGCTGTGTCTCAGCCTTTGAGCGATCAATTGCGCCCGTGATGCTTGTCTCAAGGCCTTCAACATTGCGGCACGAGCTCGTTTGCCGCACTGTCGGGGCAGGAAGGTTGGCCAAGAGCGCCAAAAAACGTCGTTAGAGTTTACTAGTTGAAAACTTGCCTAGGGTGAGCGGCCAACATGTTTTCAAGCAAACGTTTTAATCAAGATGACTTATCGTTGACATTTGTCCCGGATCCAGATCCGTGCTTTTGATTAATACTCAGGAAAACTTTGCTTAACTGTTGAGCTTCAGATCGGACATGCTTTCCAATGAACCATTCACATATCAGCAAAAAACTGCGGAGGATATCTTTCGAGACACTTCAAGAAGCGATAGCAGTACTTAAGCGATTTATTTACATCCGTTTGCCTCGATTTGCGCCGAAAATGCATCTACCGTCTTTACATCAAACTAATAAATTGTTTTATTCCCCGAAAGTTCTCCTTTTGTCTTTTGAACACCGCCATAAAGTGATTCAGGAATAAATTTACCGATATAAATGAGCCTCCTGATATCGGTCCGGCTGCAATTCTTGGCAGAGATTACAATATATCTCGATGAGATAGACCGTTATGCACCATGGGCGCGACGCTATGGCTGGACTCAGGATAGCTAGAAGTAACTGTGAGTGTCATTTGCTGCACGAGAAGAGATTTGTTACAATATACTAACGTAGCAGCACACGCACTCTTTGACACCCTGTACATAAAACTTTTAACGGTCGAAACAAGACAAGAACGAATAATAAGCTAAATAACCAAAGATAATGCAAACACCTCCTGTGTCAGCAAAGCCGCACCGCGAATCGTTCACCACGAGCCGCTTGGTCAGAAGCGATCTGGTAAAAATAAATGAACGTCCCAGCACTTCCATTAGATGATTCCTCTTACCATAACTGGTGCAGCAGTCCGGTTTGTAGAATTTGAAATACTCTAGCCAACCGACCCGATTGTATACATCAATCGCATGTTGAGACACTTAGAGAGAAATGACAAATCCCCTCCGCGGTAAACGTTTAGCCACTGAAGGGTCCTCCTCCGCAGCTCAGCTCGATGAGCAAGAGGGGGTTCACTTTTTCATCTAAAGCAAATAGAAAGGTGGCGCGGTAAAACCAGTACCTACCAAAATGGATCACTCCAGGGTACCATAGTTGGTGAGGGCGAATGGCCGTATCGACGTTGCTTTTGTATTTTAAGGAAGCTGATATCTGGCGACTTTCTAGCCTGTTTTTATGGCTCTCTCAAGCTGGCTTATGAAACCGTAGAGCGAGTAGGGGGTGACGTAATTTTACACCCAAAGCTTGAAATTAGGCTCGTTATTTTTCGGCACTGCCGCTAGAGCTTAAGGCCATAGCTATAGTATTTAAGCACGGCACAAATCTCTCGGCAAATGCTGATCCGGCCGTAAGCGGTTCTCTTAAGAAGTTGTGGTCAACGAGGTCAGAAAGCACTCGTTTTGTTCTTCAATCAAGCCAAAGCCCCCCATACACATAACAGTCAACAGACGGACCGTGGTGCAGCGGGTGGCTATTGTTGAAACAACTTGTATGTGAAGAGATATATTTCAAGTCGTTGTTAGCATCGCAGCATGGTTTTTACCCTCTGCTTTTTGCTAACAGGCATATTATGCGTCACTTATAGGGGTGAGGCGTAAAGTAGTGGCTTCCTACGCTTTCAGTGAGCTGGGTACGCCATGCTATCGAAGCTTTCGGTGAAGACAGAGTTGTTGTGGTGGAAATAGAAAGGTTGCTGTGATTATTCTCACCCGATAACAGCTCGAATTTCTCATCTTAAAAAGCTTTATAACTTTGGTTCCGGAGACCGCACTAAAACTGTGGCCTGTCGAGTCATGTGCTCCACGGAACAATTGAAAAAGGCCACCAGAGCAAGTAGTGTCAAATGAGCTGGCGCTACTGACTGCAGTTTAAGAGAAGTCG